CAGAGCCGTTGCATTGCATTACAATGAATCAGTGGGGCTTTGCGAGAGCACTTCAGGGACCGCGTTGACGATGCCCTTAATGCTCTTAACTTTAAAGTCTCGCTGCAGGAGGCCCTTAGGCAAGTAAACCACCCTAGGGTGATCAAACTCCCCAAGATTTTCATAAAGAACACTAAACCGTACCCTTTACTTGGATAGTAAAGTGCTGCTCATGTAGAGCTGGCATTTTTAACGCCCCACCAAATCGCATGGAGTTACTTTGATCGAGCTGGTCACCGCTGTCTGGTTTTGATGAAGCGATGAGAAGAGTAAGCACTACGTTGGTGTTTTGGAAAGGTCTTCGCGTGTTGGAAGAGAATAGCTTCTATCGTTATGTCACTGGCATAGGTTGCTAGGAAGCCATGACGCTCGTATTCGGGTAACGCGAGGATCGACGGAGCTTCAGGGTGGCAGTACAGCGTCCTTGCTGTGATATCAGCTTCCTCTATTCAAGTCAGAGGTTGATTTTCAAAGCAGGTTAGGTAAAGATAGGGGATCCGAGTAGATCCGGTAAGTGTTTTCGCAAAATTGTGCAGTTCTGTAGAGGTTCACAACTTCCTTGTTAGTGCGTAGAGGATAAGATCACAATTTGATTGCTTTATTCATTGCCGCACGTGGCTCGATTTCTATGGCCAAAGAACGGATTGTGAGAACACAATTTTCCTAAAGGAAAACGAACAGCTGCATGCCTTCACATACCACCGCTTGTCCCGCAGCAGCTGGAGCGCACACCGGAGGCCCTGTTGCTGCTCCTCGACGATTCAGCGCAATACCAGATGTCGTTAATGTAGATAGTCGTCAGACGACTTTGAATGGATGATTACAGTCCGAAGCAAGTTGCCGTTCCAGCCTAGAAGAGGCTGTTGTTATCAAGTCCACACTGAGTACAGGTGTACGGGAGTTTGCGGGTGCGAATGCACGCGTAGAACTCCGTTTTGTGTCTGTCTTCAGGGTGATAAGGATCTTAAAGGAGGCGCCTAGGAAAGCAAATGTTGAGTAGACTGCTGGTCCATGCGCTTTGCTCAGCAAATCTTTGATATAAATCGAAAACTTCTGTTTCACAGTAATCTTACCAGGGGGCTCAATGTTTGTGAGCGTGAGACATCTTCCATCCCTTTTGTTACCAACGTGGGTTTATGTGCAAAGGCGCTGATCGAGTCCTGCACTTCGTATTTTTCAAAAAAATTATCCGTGTGACGCTCAAGCTCCTCTTTACGTGGTGAAAACTTCCGATGCAGTGTAACATACCTTAAAGGCTGACCCGGGGATTCGCTCACGACTGACGAGCTGCCAGTAGGTGGCCACCTACTGGCAGCTCGTCAGTATTCGGCACATTTGTAAACTCCTTGGTTTCGCCGATTCCTGGTGTTCCTTGGCTAAATGGTCAATAGGCCCTTGGAATAAAGAACCAGTTGCACTACCACTAAGACAGGATATTCACCAAAACCATCTTCCCCTACTCCGCTGGTGAGCCGCCTGTACAAAAAATCTGCCTCACATTGTTGAGGCACAGGCTCTACCCGACCATCCTCCATGTAATGAGTCTTCTCGAGGAGGCCAGAAGTTTATTCTTTCTTACGCTTCCTGGTAGACTAACCTTCAAAGAGCGCAGGCTGTAGATGCATCAGCACATTTTATTGAATTATGGGTATTAGGAATTAGGGTGTTGCCTGTCTTTCAGCCAGGTAAAGAAGTATTTGGAAGCTCTACTCATGTTCTGCGCACACTGTGGGCTGCCCCTTTGTGTTGTATACTTCTCTACAGCTACTAACAAGTCAGAACGCCCTGCTCAACCGCCTTACGTCCCTTGTCCCTTCTACGGAGAAATAGGCCGCGTTTCTTATAGGGCCATCTGTTCCAGGATAGTAGCCGTTAGGAGTGTTCTAATTTTGTGAAAGGCGCTTTTCTAGTATTGCGCTTTTCCTAGTGCTGAGTGATCAAGAGAAGCAGGTATGCTCAGAGTCTTCGCGGCTGCTCCACACGTGGGTCTCCGCAGATGTATGTGGCTGGGAGGTTCTTCTAACAAAGTCAGCCCTCCAGCGAATTTCATGCAAGTGACCTCCACTCATGGCTATCTTCGGTCTCCACTTGTCACTGCCTCTCTTCTCTCTATTACCATCGTGTTTCTCATTCTCTTCTTCTCTATGCCGTTCGGCCAGGTTCTCCCAGCTATTGCTGTCTGCCTGGTTTTCCTAGTGGGGCCCTTTTTTGCCTGGTCAAAAACATACACACGTAATGAGAACCCATTGGTCTCCACGCAATTCAAATGAGCTGCATTTTCAGCTATTTTAAAGGAGATCTCGTGTGCAAGCCTCCAGTGTACAGGCATCTTCCTCCTGTACGTATCCTCCATACAGAAGTGCTTCCTGGAGCAGTAGCTAAAGCAGAATCAGCTCCAAGATGAATAGGCAATTAGTCGCTCATCCAATCCACGCACAATCGGGGGATAATTCTTGAGATGTAGGAAAGCTTCAATTCTCATGTGGGCAACCACGGTTCTTCATTCAAGTTTTGGCTTCTACTACCCAATTATCAATAGCAAAAGTAAACTAGCTCTAAAGGGGATACGCCGTAACAGACTGCTGTTGGAGGGGGCAATAATGCGTACTCCAGCCTCCCAGCATTTCGAGTGTTAGCTGGCTTCCGGCTCTCACAGGATGACGAAGCACACCACAGAGGCTGCATCTAGTTAGAAACATTGTACCGTGCGCAGGTACTCAGAGACACACAAACTCAGGCCGCTCTTCAGAGCTTTAGGTCTAAAGACGATTGGACAAGACATTCCAGACGATCGCACCAAAGTGGCTAGCGACAAATGGCTGCAACAATCATTCCTGCCCTAACATATCATGCATCCTATTAATCGTTAATTACAAGGTCATACAGCGGGGATATACACAGGGCAGACTCCAAAGATTCAAATCTCTTCTCACATGGATCATATGCTGCAGCCTGTCGGCTTTACACCCCCCGCTGCGCTCCCAAAGACGGGGAGGCCCTACCGCGGGGACCCTCCACCCCAGATCCCGGCAGTGCATACCGCACACTTAAAAGCCCCGAGATGGCAGTAAAGAGATGGACTTTCGGAAGCAAGCGTAGCAGACAGAAGAGCAGGCATACGAGCACATCGCTTGTGCCTAGCGTTAGTAGGGATCTCGCCGCAGGAGAGTAGTGAGAGACCATATTTAGGAATACGGAAGGCGCTCGGGGCGTGTGACGGAAGAAACTCATGAAGAGCTATCTTCCTTTTGTTCTTCAGTCAGCAAATCCACTAATTTTGTTCCACGCAAATCCTCTGCAAGGCCTCCGCAAGCCATCCCCCAACGAAGCCCCACTGACTGCCTGCTCTTTGCTTGAAGAAAGCTCGCAGCCCTTCCCAGACTCTTGCGAACATGAACAACTCCATATGCGTCATCAATTCCGCTTTTGGAATATCGTCGCCGAGCAGTGCCAGAAGTCCAACCCCGCAGGCATCGTCAGCCCCAGTGCACCCAGAGGGCCCCTAAGAGTCCCTCCCTCATGGATGCATTGCTATTCTTCCAAGCTTGCTCTCTTCTCTCTTCACTCTGCAGATCTCGTCTTTGACACCATATGCCCATTGAAATCATCAGGGCCCCCATAGCCCCCGGAGGCCCGTCGCCCGGTTACCCCTCGGGGGCCCCTCACTGCAGTTCCCCGCACGATGAACTTCTGCCTCTCCACGGTAGACACGTATTTGCAGCAGCAGCGAGGGGCCCCTGGCAGCGCTTCTGATGAGAAGCCGACCTCAGAGGGCTCCTCCTCCGCCGCTCTTGGGGTGGCAGCTGGGCCCCCCTCTTCCCCCCCCTTGGCCTCCGCGGACGGCTGTTCGACCTCTGCAACGAGCTCGAACAGCCTGAAATCCTTGCTGCAGCTCATTGCTGGAGTCGCCGCAGCAGCGCAAAAGATCCCCGTTGGCGACGACTACACCATACAGACCGGCAGCAACAGCAACGCGCGTAGAGCCGCCGAAGCCGCAGCAGCAGATACTCTGAGGGCGTTGATCGACGTATCCAGTGGCTGCGCGGGCGGAGCTCTTTCTTTGGCACCTCTCAGGAGAGCAGAGGCCCTCTACCGCGATCTCGCTGATCCAAGCGCCTCCATCAGCTGCAGCAACAACTTGACCAGCACCAGCAACAGCACCAGCAACAGCGCCAGCAACAGCGGATTCCTACAAAAGGACGGGCAACAGATTCATGAAGGCATTGGCTCCGGAGTGCAAGCGTTGCTCGATGATCTGCTCGAGGCTGTGGATGCCTCCTTAGAGGCACACCGGCAGAACCCTCAACAGAAGATACGCATGCGGCTCGCGCCCTCTGGGCAGCCCCCCTCTCAGCAGCAGGAGCAACAGGATACTCTGCAACAGCAGAGGCGGCAAAAGCAGAAGCGCATTACATCAGGTACCAGCCCCTTGGTGCAGCAGCTAAAAGGCAGCGATGGAAGTCGCGAATCGTTGCTCACACAACTGGAGGGCCGACCCCAAAGCCAGTGGGCCTTCCTGATCGACAACTACAGCAAACTATTTGTTCCTCGAATGCAGCAAAAGCCTCACGGAAGATACCCTCTGTCTGAGGCGACTCTGACCGCGCAGAGGCGAAGGGCTCTGTGGATCGAAAGACGGAAGGATATCATGGAGGACGCGCTTGCCGCTGCCGCTGCCGAATTTTCACCAGGCCGAACGCAGAAGGAGCAGCAGCAGCAGCTGCTGCTGCTGAAGCAGCGCGATCAAGCGCTCCTTCGCCTGCAGCAGGAAGAAGAGGCTGAACGCGAAGCAGAGAGCACTGAACCGCTACCCCATCCGTACGAAGGAGAATTAAAGGACCTGGAGTGGCTGTTAGACAACGACCTGTTGCAGCAGGGTGTCTACGCAGGTACAGTATCTGGCTGTTGTGCTTGTTCTACGGTGCTCGAGCAAGCGGCTTTCTCATCGCGTGTTAGGCGTTGCCGATTCTGTGCCTTGAGCGTCTCGTCTGCCCCCCTTCCCTCGCATGGACTGCTGCAGCTCCTGCAGCTGCAATCGCACCGGCAGCGTCCGAAGAAGAGCCGCTTCTACTGAAGTCTGTCGCTGGTGTGGTGTGCCCCCGCTGCGTCTCTTGCTCCGCAGACTTCTTCTCCATGAAGGAACCCCCTGTCGCTCCCCCCACAGAGGAGACGCCCTTGGTGATTGTGGAAACTCCGCGGCAACTCCGAGAAATGCTCGACGAGCTTTGCAGCGGTGGGCTCCTCGTTCTCTCTCTCTCTCTATCTCTCTCTCTCGGCGCTGTTGTTCTTATCGGGATCGCCTCCTCGTTGTTGCCTCCTTCCGATTATTTCGCCTTCTGCTGCCAGTTCCCCCGTTCCTGCCGGTGGCGCTCTTTACGCAGCAGCGCGAGCAGTTGCATCTCCTGTGCGGCTTTTTTCCCAGCGCCTTTCGAGCAGTGTGCAGTGTTCAAGTCCGTTAAGCTGCGTGGCTTTTTCTTTGCGCCTCTGCAGGTCGGCACCGCGTTGTCGCTCTGGATACCGAGCATCACTCCTACGAGAGCTACAAAGGCTTCGTTTGCCTGTTGCAGCTCTCCACGTGCACCAGCGCGGGGGCCCCTAAGGACTTCCTCGTCGATCCGTTTTCCCTCTTTTACGAGCTCACGCAGCTCAACAGACTCACAGCAGATCCCAAAATCCTAAAGGTCATGCACGGTGCAACAAGCGACGTCCTCTGGCTTCAGGTGGGTAGTGTTTGTCCAACGGTCTCTAGGTGTGCAAATTTGTTCTTACAAGGCACTTCGGCGTTGAGGGCCCTCCAGAGGGGCTGTGCATGCGTCGTGGACGCAGGCGTCCGGCAAACGTTTCTCTGAGACGGTTCCTCTTTGCGCTTTTGCGTCGCTGCCTCGAGCTGCGTTTCTGCGTGCCCCCTCTGTGTGGCTGAGAAGCGCTCACTTTGTTTCCTGCTTGCGGCCATCTGTCACCCCGTACCAGGCGCAAGCCGGGGTTCGCAGGGAGGCTCTGCTGTCTGTCCAGCTGCTGTGTTATTTAGAGGGCTTCTCACGATGCTGCTTCATCCGCTTCCTGTCTGCCCTTGCCATCGTCATTCTCCCTGTCTCGCACCGTCTTGCTCTGCTGCAACTATCAGCGCGTCCGAGTCTGTGTGCGCCCTTGACTGCGTCTTCCTATTTACAGAGAGACTTCTCCGTATACTTCGTGAACGTCTTCGATACAGCGGTGGCTGCTCGGACTCTCACTATCCCCGGTGGGGCCTCCCTAGCAAATCTCCTCAGCTTTTACCTCAAGAAGCGCAAAGACACCAAAATGCAACTAGCGGACTGGAGAATCAGGTAGGCCTTTCTGTCCTCATGGCTGCTGCAGCTGCCATGGCTGCTTTTCTGCTGCACTTTTGCGTTCGTTCGATTGTCTCCTTAGTAATAATAGCGTATTTAAGCAGCAGCAGCATCTCGCAGCTCTCCAGAGATGCTTTGCTGGCGTCCCTCATTTCTGTTGAGCCTTGATCCCCTAGAAGCTGCTGTTTCTGTGCCTGGAAATAGCTGCCGTTCCCCAATCGCCCCCCCCCCCGCCGTCAGCACTGCCGCTGTATTTGCCACCACCAGATCAGTTATTGTCACCTCTATTGATTCCCTTTCTTCTGCTGCTCTCGTGTGGGACGTTTGTGCTTAGGCCACTTAGCGACGAAATGAAAAATTACGGACGCTCCGACACGCACTACCTTCCATATCTTTACCAGTGCATGCAGAATCAGCTCCTATCAAGGGATGACGAGTGCGTTTTCTTCTACTGTCGCTGTTGCTGTCGAGAGTTTAGCCGGTGCTGTTTTGTCGCTGTCAGCTCTTTCCTGTTGACAAACTGTTGATGACCTCTGATGCCAAGAAACTGCCTCGGCCTCTAACCCCCATTCAACGCAGAAGCGTGGGTGGCTGGTGCCGTGCTGACGCATCCAACACACACGCACACACACATACACACACACACACATACACACACACATGCATACACTCATACATAGACATACACGTACATACACATACACAAAACTGCAGCTGATGCTACTGCTCTGTCGAATACCATTGTACTCGTGCGCTCTGCTTGTGCGGCTACAGGACAGGAATTTACACTTTGCGGTGCACCACACCCCACGACCTAGGCACCCCCACGGCTGTAAGTACCAGTTAGCAGGCGCTGCAAGTGCTGATGCAGTGGGTAGGGCTTCGAAGAGGTTGCCGTGCTTGTGATCAAGCGGTCACGCTTCTTAGGGGCTGCGTCGGTGCAGCTTTACCACCAGCAGTGGCAGCCGCTGCTGTCGCAGGAGGGGCAGGCGGTCAGCTGTAGCAGGAAGGGCAGCTGGAGCAGCACAAGAGTCAGCAGCGGCATCACCATCGCAATACGATAGTCTGAGGAGCACCACTGAGCTGCAAACAGAGGCCCTTTTAGCACAGCAATAGCATAGCAGTGCTCGCAGAGTGGGGTTGGTCGCAGTGCGGGGACATGTGGTGTGTTTCTGTTGCTGCAGTCTGGTCGGGCTGCGGTGCTGGGTGTGCTGCAACGGAGCCGCAACATCTGCCTTTCTTTATACACGGAGGGGCCATTCGATGCGGAGGCGGAGGCTGCCCAGATGCTTAGGAGGAACAACACAGCCCTTGCTCCCCTCTCCGTCGCAGTTCTTGTGAGGCAGGCTTCCCCTGCTGGCTGCAGTTGTGCCTGTTTGGGGTTGCTCACGTGTAATCACGCCTTGGTCGTTTGTTTTGAGCGCGAAAGGTGCTCTTTCTAATGCTTGACTCTCGCTAGAGGACAGTGTGCGCTCTCGCCTATTCTTCCGCGATTGCTGCTCCTGAGGCGCGAGGCTTTGTGCTGCGATGTGGGGTGCCCGTGCAGAAGGGACTCCTCGCCTGGAGAGATAGTGTCGCCAGAAAGAGAGATGTCAGTCCCCACGCGGTCCTCCCCAACGCTTGCGTCTTGCTGCTTGCACAACGCGTAAGGAGACTCTTGAGACCCTTCGAACGAACCCTCCAACTGCCGTGCAGCGAATCCTCCAACTGCCGTGCAGCTTCTCTTCGTACTGTGGCTGCTGCCCGTGTCTGCGGGATAAGCCGCGTCCATTGCTACTCTGTTCGCTGCTATGAGCCATCTTGCTGCTGCCGTTTTAGAGGCCCCTGGAGCATGTGCATCTGCGTCACGCCATCCGCCCCACACCGGCTGCGATTCACCGCTACGGTCCTGAAATTCTGAAGGCTATTCAGGTGAGCCGCCTTTGTCGTGCAGCGGGCTGTCTAGTAGCTAGCCAGCTAGTAGCGATTGGACAGTCTCTGCTGGGATCGATGTTGCATTGGATGTAGCCAGCCGGCCGTTGGACTGCCGGCGACAGTTGTTACTGAGGACGCGTGCATGCACGCAACTGCATGCGTGTCGGGGTTGGTGGCGTCATGGGTGCTGCGCCTGTTGCAGACCGCGCTGGAGAGGGCCACAGCGCCGCCTGCTCCTGCAAAGTCGCAAGAGACTCTGCAGCCGATAAAGCAGCAGCGATCACAGGAAGAGGATCAGGCGGGAGAAGACGACGCCGCTGAACTGCTACCGTCCGCCGAGGTGCTCAGAGGGGCTGCCGCTGACCAGGAAGGTCTGCTCGACGCTGAAACAGTGCCTGCTTCTGCGCCTTCCTTACAAGACACCCTAGTGGGGGATAAGGACTCTCAGCGTTTTTTCAAGGGCTTGGAAGACGTCAGCAACGGCAGCAGCAACGAGAGCAACACCCCCGGAAGCTCCAGTGACAAGGCCTGCCAGCCGCAGCAGCTGCCTGTGCGCGTTGGAGGATTCTTCTCCGGAGGGGCGGAGGCTCTCAAGTCTCCCGTGGTCATTCGCATTTCTTCAGCCGTACTGTCTCACCGAATGCAAGACGTGGAGTTCAGGAGTCCGTTGCTGCGCCTCCTGCTGCTCGTAACACCCTCTAACACCCTTCTGTAGAGCGAGTTTCCTGCTCTCCGTATCTTGGTCTGCCTGCGACGTCTATGGTAGCGTCGCTCTTCTGCGCGCTTACGGGCATGCCCCACAAATTTCGCTTGCCATGGCTTTCGGGGCTTTTGGGTGTGTCTTCAGTCGCAGTAGGTGCTGCTGCATCTCCCTCGTTCGCGGACGTAAGTCGATTTGCCTCGGCAAACGCAACAGCAGCAGGAGGAGCAGCGAGGGCAGCACAGCTACGAGGCCGTCTCAGCTCAAAGTGCTCAGTCCTGTCGGTGTTACTTCTGTGGCTTTCTCAGGCGTACATCCCCACCCGCATGGCCCGGCAAGTGGCGCGTTGGGTGTACAGTCAACTGCAGCAAATGGAGAGGGACCAACTGCTGCACTCTCGCAGCAAAAGAAGAAGAGATGAGCTCCTGCAAGCTCCGGCGGAGCAGCCTCAGACGGGCAGAACCACTAGCTCCGAATTCTTGCTGCTCCCCGCTTACCCCCCTCCTCCTCCTCCACCGGAAGCAGTACCAACAGCTGCTGCTGCTGCAGTCGCGTCAGGTCTGACCAGTGTCGATGCCGCGACCACCTCAGTAGCAACAGCAGCAGGACCAGTAGACTCAGCAGTGCGGCCCACGAATGGGGAGAAGGAGACACCAAACGACACCGAGGGAAAGTGTCCTCTATCCGGAGGGCCAGATTTGGCCTTAGGCCTTGTCACAATAGCCCAGCAAAAATGGAAGCGGCGTAAGAGGCAACGCACGCGCACAGCAACTGCTGCAGCGGCGCCAGCTGTACTAGCGCAAAACCCCACTCCTGGTTTCTAAGGGAACCAAGGTGCACCACTGCTACCGCTCTCTTTTGCTAGACTGCTACTCCAGAGCGCCTGGAACCGGCACCGAGCCTCTGATGCTATAGATTGCTTCACTAACAGCCCCTAGTCCCCCTGCTGCTGCCGCTGTTGGTGCAAGGTGTGGCCTACAAAAAATAAAAGGCCGCCTTCCATAGCTACATAAGGTATCATACATGGCAGCTGCGCAAACGCATGCATCTAGCAGCTCGGTATGCAAATCCGTCAACTGCAGGGGGAGTGGCCCTCCGTGGTAGAGCGCTTGAGGAAGCAGCAAATGCACGGAGGCCCACTGCCACCTCCGCCATCCAGCCACCGAAGAAGCCGCTTTTCGCACACCTGCAACAGTCGTCTGTAGTTGCAGCAACTGTACATGCAGCTGCTGAAGTGTTTGTCAAACAGGGTGCAACGGATTGGTGGCTAACTGCAGGCAACTGTCCGGCGAACGCGTGCAGGTGTAAGGTTCGTGACACATGCACTTTCAGGGTGTAGTAGACACTGAGCAAACTATCAGCGAACTGCGGATTCCAGACTTCACAACATGCATTGCTATTCTTGGTGACCCTTGTTCCACCTGGAAGTCTTCACTTCCACGCGGCCTCTGCCTCATCCCAAGCTTGTGGCTAGTTGCTCCAGTGCACCCATTGTTGCCTCGCACCAGACTCTAAGAGTCGCAGCCTCTATTTTTCTTCAAGAGGGGCAGTGCAACGAGCAGCCACCGGTGTGCAGCCTTCCTGGTGCGTCGACTCGAGAAGCAGCCCAGCAAGGCAGATAAAAATACGAGGCCTGCAGGCCTTACACTTCGTTCTAACTACAAGGGAGGGCCGAAGTGACAGAATCCAATCCACTGCACTGCCTGTGGGTTTCTCGAAGACAAATCCAAAAGGCTAGCCAGCAACCGCAAACACAGCCCGTAGGATTAGCCAGACGTAGAGGCTTCTCATAAGGCCCCCGCAGGTCAGTCACCGGCCCCCGTCCACTGCATAGAGCAAACAAGTCCGTCGGCTGCACTGCAATGGAGGGTAAATGGGGGGGCAAGGAAGGGGGGGAGCTCTTAAGGCCACTGGCATGGCTTTGCAAAACCAGGATCCAAAATCCCAGCCTTGAGAACTCCCTGGTGATCACGAGTGTGTCACCCAACGCATCTCAGCGCACCACACGGCCACACCCACAAGAATGCTCCACAGATGCATGCATAAGTCTAAAGGCCCGAGGTACTCAGTCCCTATCTACACCTCGGCAGCTTCAAAAAACGCAAGGCAAAGCCAACAGATCTGCCTGTCTCTCCTGGGTTACAAAGGTATGTTACTCAACCACTCGGGATGAACCGAAAGAAGTATGCTACACGAAGGAGATAGATACAAACTTCCGAAGATTTGCGTCAACAGTCTCGAAGGTCCACGATTTACAGGTGCTGCAGCAAGCACCTCTCCCAGCCACCCTCCGAATCAATAGGGCATAAGGCGGTGATGCCAATGGGGATGACGGAGTCCCCATCCCGATTCATTCCTCCCTCTTGTTGCCATCCTAACCCGGTTTGAGGGGTCTCACCCTCTCTCACTAGATCATACCCCTATCGCCGTTCTTCCTCAGCACTCTGCTATAGCAGCCATGGCCTGGCTGCTCTGGCGGCTCGCCGGGTGCATTTGGTAAGAAAAGCACAACACTGCGTGCCCCTACATCGCGATAATTTGTGGGAGGTTTCGAAGATTTTGTGTGCTTTCATGGGAAGTGTACATCCTCGGTATGCCCCTGTTGATTCATTTGAATAGGTTATTGCGATAATATGCCAGTTCCTGAATACTTTCCTTGATGTCATCTAGGGCCCTGTGCAGATACATCTTCCGCGGGGGTGCGACCGAGGGGAACCACCTCTGAGCAAGGATCTTGATGCTTGACACATCTAATATCTGGTAGTGCAAGAACTCTAAGAGAGAAGGCATCTCCCTCCTGAGGAACTCCTTGTCCATATGGATCGAATTACCAGCTAGCACTGCCTCCTTCATGCCCACGTTATTTTCCTTGAGAAAGGCAATAATGTGCTTCTCAGCATCTTGTGCAGTCAGTGTTGCTCGCATACACGCTTCCGTTAACCCTGAATTCCCGTGCTGCTCCTTGCACCAGTCATTCATCTCGTCAAGCTCCTCTTTCGGGCAGTGTAATATCATACAGGGCCCCTCTTGCATGTGTTCTAGATTCCCATCCGTCAATATACATGCGATCTCCAAAATCCTATCCTTTAAAGGATCAAGCCCCGTCATCTCGCAGTCCAGCCACAAAAGGGGCTGCTCGAATTGCCGTCCCATCGGTCTTCAAGTTCAAATGAGAGAGGGACCGATGAAGGGGAGGTTCTGCAAAGAGGACACGACGCAGACAAACCAGGAAGCATGCGGCAACAAGAGGACGCACGCATGAGGAGGTAAAGAAAATGATAACAGCTATTAGAAACCCTCAAGCTCATTACAGCTGTGTCACTTCCTTGATCAGTCTCCGCGTCTTTCGGTGGATCCGCGTGCCTTTGCGCCTGTCATCAGCTGTAGACAATGATTGGTTAGGCCATTTGTTTGGAGGGACGCCTTCTCACCTCTACTGATCTCTGTCCAAGGTGTTCTTCGGAATGCCTGTGCCACCCTGAACACAATCAGCAGCAGTACCTGCTGCTGATTGTGTTTAGTCTTGAAAGCCGATGCAGAAGAGAGAGGACCGCTAATGTTGCGGCAGCGGCAGCAAGCAGCACAAAGCGCTGCGATTCCTTTTAGGGGGAGCCTCCGAAGCCTTCTTGCTGGGTGCTGGCGTACTAAAGGTTTTTTAGGTGCTTCTGACCAACAATCCAAGGAGATTTATGAGAGGAGTTGACAATATGCATTACCTAGGGGCAGGAAATGCTTACACTCCCAACCCAAGCTCTACCAATGAAATTTTGGTGTTGTTGCCAAGCGGTGACCACAGTAAAAAGTGGCTGATTGCATTTGCATAGTTCCAGAAAGAGGGGCGATGGCTGAAACACCTCCAGGTAAGGACATTATTTCGTTGTGAGGGCGAGAGCGATCCCGAGAGCCCTCTTTCCCAGTAGCGTCAGCCTGGAGTTCCCTTTTTCACCTGGCCCCCCAGCCGCTACAATACCCCAATTAGGTTCTGAAACCTATTTCGGGATTAAACGAGGTCAGAGCCGATCCTGGTGGCTTTAAAGCATTAGGTGCTGCGGCTGTGGGGCCCTCCGTCTGCAGCCATTGAGGCCTAGTGCTCCCACTCATTCCCCCGCCTGTACTTTGCAAAAAGCACAAGGTCGTGTCTTGCACCAGGCAACTTGCCGCCAATTACCAAACTCGAACTTGGACATATCAGGCACCGAGATGCATAGAGTTCAAGGGGTACAAACTGGGTGGTTTGAACGTTCTATGCTTGCTCCAAGGGACTCCTAGGGCCCCCCTCCCTTTAAAGCCTTTGCTGGGCAATGAAATCCCAAACCACTGGGCACAGCACGTCTGCAAACGGCGGAAACTGTTTTTTGCATTTAAAAGTTCGCGGTTGCGTGACATAGCGGCACATACAGCATCACCAAGAGCTACTGTCAAGTTGGCACAACAAAAGATGCAGTGATTTCAAAAGCGAGTTTGTCAGTTTGCCCCCTCGGCGGGATGTGCTTGTTGTCGAATCTTTCCTACTGCGCTCTATTAGGCATGTTTTAAACTATGGAATCGTTATGTAGCGAGGGGTAATTGCTCGATGGGTGTCCAAACTTTCCCATGATTAACCAGCCACTATACCTGCTTGTACAGCAGGTGGAGCGCCTATGAAATGCAAGATCTCAGTACGCCGAGAAAGCTGAGGATGTGCCAATATGTGTATTCATCTGAGCTTGCCTTGGTGTAAGAGGCACAACTATCCTATGCAACGAAGCAACAGGAAAAGGGGGAGATGCGAAAGGCAAACAGTAATTCGGGTGCAAAGTTGCACTGCTGTATTGTGGTACGTCTGGGCCTCATTGGCATTTAGAGCCGATGATGAGATAGTGCCTCAGTGTAGCTGAACGCGCTCTACCAGCTAAGCACACATGTGCAGCGGGTTCTAGCCTTCCTCATGTATTACACTAGTCACATCTACTCCTTAGTATATAGAGAGGTAACGATTCAGTCTTGCTCTTAGATCGTGTTCATTGCAGAATAGTGCTAGCTCAATACGGCAAGAAGCAAAGCTAGATACTTGGGGGCTAGTTTTAATAGGCATGTAGCTTGAATGTTGAAGGTGAATAAAGGGTGGAGCAGCAGCACACTGTAGCTGAACTTCTTCGCTCATGTCAGAGCCCTGAAAGGCATGGGCACAGAAAGGAAGATTGTATGAAAGGGCACTCAATAACTTCCTAGTTAAGTTTGTTTGACTCCGGAGTTAAACGTCCTTCTACGGAGCTCTTTGATGGATTGTTCGATTGGAGCACCAAATGTTTCGATATAGCTGTTGTCCGCTCATCCGTTAAGTGCAGTTGTAGTGGGTTGTCATAATTCCCTGGCTGCGAACTTTCAAAGTGTTTTTGGGTAAAGAGCACGTGCCTTAGCGGTTCCTCTCCCCTCACGCCAAAACCGTGAGGACCGAGGGCACATAAAGCTGGGAGATCTTTGTAAAAGCTTCTACATTCTTTCTTTTAAGTTTGTATTGAGTCCAAGGCTACATGGCTTCATAAGTAACGCTTAGGTGGAGCAGTACAGTGTCTTCGCGTATTCCAGAACCCTTAGGTGATGCGGGAAAGAGTGAGGGGAAGCTGCTCGAATTTGACCTCTAGAGATTTTTATTGATCTTCCGGATGGGTTTCTAACCACGGTTTTCCTTATATGAGGAGGATCTATACATCGCGTAGTCTCTACGTTGCAAAAGCTTTCACTGTATATAGGTATCTGTTTCTTTTATATGGTATGAACTGTCCAGCAGTGTCTTGTGTAATTCCTTACCACGCATCAACTCTCTGAAGTAGCCCCAGCTGCACTTCAGTAGCACCTTATAAGTATTACATTTGTTGCAGGATGCGGCCTAATGTTCATTCTTTTATCATGAAATGCGTGCCTTTAGAGTTATCCTGCAGCGTACGAATGCTCTAATTGCTCAATGCAGCACCATGCACCCCAGCTGCCATTCTTTCTAAGCTTTCAACTCTGTGGGGTGATAAGGGAATAGTGAGATGTAGTTCTTGACAAGATACAGATAATTGCGCTACTTAGCTTTGGGAAGGCCTTTTTTAAAGTCCTTAGGGAGAGCGTTATGCCTCACACCCCGTTGACTCGCGTCGAGCAGATTCTTCATGTGCTTAGTGTGCGGGCAAGCACCTGAAGGAAGCTCCACCAACTCACAGGTCCTTAATGCTACAGTATGTAGAGCTGCGCTGTCTGTAATAGCCAACCGATCATCCGCAGTCCTACTGCCTGCCTGCAGTTCGTCTCAAGTGTATTGTTAGTCGAATTTCCTTATGCTTCCGCTACAGTACCTCAGGCGCATTGACGCGTAAAGCAGGGTGGAGAGTAACGGAGTATGAGAGGTAGCTGGTGCTCAGTGGCCCTATAGTAAGTCTATGCAATACGAAAGCCCACTTGGCACTATCGTCTGCAATGTTTCTTTCCTACAAGCCACAAATAATCGAGGGAAAACTGCGTCTGCAATCAGCTTTCAAACTGCTACGAAGTACACAAACACCATCACCCAGAAAGGTGAGCTACTAAGACTAAAGGCTGCCGGCGAGTGGCTGCAATGTAAGATAGGGTCATTCGAGACGAGCACCATGCACCGTGACTGCTCACACACTTTGCAGAAGGCGCTTCACCAGGTGTCTCCAACAAAATTACATAGGGCGTTGTCATCGACCCCTGCTACGTGCCTCCAAATAATAGCACCCGAGAACACACAGGCAACAAAGCGTGGGAGTCGTGAGAACGAAAGCTACAGGCATCTGAGTGAGACAGAGAAAAAGTGGAAGCACGCAGTTACAGGGTTAGGTGTAAGCGCCAATAAAGGGGCAGCAAGATAGCAGGGTGCCACCAGAGAGACGATTGACGGGAATATGCAGAGAAACTGTGCATAAATTGAAACTGTCGGGCCTCGACTTAGGCCCAATGGGCTACCCTTATTATCCCCAGAGGCAAATCAACTCTGCCAGCTTAAATGGGTGTCATACTTGCTATGGTTACCGCTTTTCTTTAGTTGGAAGACAGGGCCAGGAAGGGGCTACACGTCAATCGAGCACAGCTACAAGGCAGAAAGTAAAGCCAAGGGCAAGGACCAGGGCAAAGAAGAAGAACAATGATACACGCGGGAGGAGGAAGATGAGCCACGTACCAAGAAAACACAGACGTAACAGCAAAGAGGCTACAGCGAAGGAGGCAGAGGCTAGGTGAGAAAGCTATCGCATCAGGTCCAGTGGGTGCAGCAACAACACCGAGGCCATAGAAAACAGCGCAAGGTAGCAATCTCTGTCTTTGGCGCAGTGCCAGGAACTCCACCGAAGGGCACCCCCCTCCCTGCCTACAAAGCACTAGAAGGGGGAAGTACAGGCGTGTACTGTAGCACTAGCTGCTGCTACCCATGCAAGTCCAGCTGTTGCCGTGTGCGACACGGAAGACGGAGGCAGCCGCTCTCACAACAGTGGTGTGAAGTACCTGCAGCCAACGCTGCTACTGTCAGAGCTCCTCGTGTTACAGGTGCTGCTCCAGATGCCACAGCTGCAGCATTCATTAAGAAAATGACACAGAAAAGGGGAAACAGGTCCTTTCCTGGCCGCCAGGCAGATCACCCGGGCCGCAGAATTTACGCGCCTCTGGCACACAGCACAGGCTGTGCTGCAGCAGTCGCACATTTTTCTGGAGCAGCAACTGCAGCAGATCTGGCTGCATAGCCAGCTGACGCAAAAAGCGCTTGAAGGATTACAAGACAGCAGCAGCAAAATGAAGAGCCGTGAGGCAAAAGGAGAGCTGCTGCACTCCCTTTGCAGCCATGCAGCAGTGAGCCTCTACAGTGCCAGCAAAAGCCGCCGCTAAGAAGGTTCAACTGCGCCCATCGTTGTTGTTGCTGCTATGGGGTATGCTGCCCCCAGAGGCAGCAGCTGCAGCGCCAAGCTCGCCCAGGGAAGGCCCTCCAGAGCTTCCGGTGTTATTGCCATTGCCGCAATCCTCAAGGAGAGTCGAGGAGGGAGCAGTGAGTCCCCCCGTGTTTTGTGTATTGGAAGTTGAGGGCACGCCCCCGTTGTTAGTTCCGAACCCAGCAGCAGTGGTGGCTGCTGCTGCGGCTATTGCGGCTGCTGCAACAGTCGCCGCTGCCTGAGGCTTGGGTGGCTGCGTGAAAGGCCTTATTGGAGGCGGATACAGTTTATTCAGTGGAACAAACCTGTCCGAGGGGCAGCAGCGCACGGGAAGCGCTGGATCAAAGTAACCCATGGTATTCCAAATGAACATCTCCTTGATGAGGAAGGGGCCCTACATTTACACGCAGAGAGCAGCCGAAAGGAAAAAAGCAAGTGAACACTCCACCACGCTACCCAACGTTTACACCGAAGAAATGCCCGCTTGCAACTCGGGCACACGACATTCTACGTCGAAGCTCCCCGAGAGCCGAAATCTCCCTTCATGCCATTGCCATCGGCAGCACTGGTGCAACATGCATCAGCAAACCGAAAGTCTCACCTGAACATGGCCTTTCGGATCAATGTACTGCCAACATTTTTCAGTCATTACATCAGGCCGGCGGTTCTGCTGCTGCTGCCGCTGCTGCTGTTGCTGCAATAACTGCTGCAGTTGCTGCTGCTGCTGTAACAATTGCTGTTCCTGCAGTTGTTGCTGCTGCTGGAGCTGTTGCTGGAGCAGCAGTTGCTGCTGCAGCTGCTGCTTGTGCTGCTGCTGCTGCTGCTGTTGCGGCTGCTGCTGCTGCTGCTGCTGCTGCGGCGGCGGCTGCTGCTGCTGCAATTGCTGCTGCTGCTGCTGCTGCTGCAATTGCTGTAGCAATTGAAGCTGCTGCTGCTGCTGCTGCTGCCTCGCGTATTGGTGCTGCTCATTTTCGGCGCTGCTGCTATCCCACGCTTGCTGTCGCACACCGTACCGTTGCTGAGCTGCGGCTGCAGCGCGAGAGCCACGATACTGCTGTTGCTGCTGCGCCTCCTGCTGCTCGAGCTGCTGCTGCTGCAATTGTTGCAGCAGTTGCGCGGTTTTCTGGGCTCCTTCTCCTTGTTGCAGCCGCTGCAGCAGCAAGCGAGCTTGTTCCCTAGGAAGTTGCATTAGGGCAGCAGCCGCTGCTGCTGCAGGGGAAGCCGGCTGTCTCTGGGGGTGATGCTGATGCTGTAAATCCAGCGCAGCATCCCGTTGCAGCTCCGAGTGGTGCTGCTGCAGCTGCAACAGCTGTTGCTGCTGCTGCATTTGTTGCTGCTGGCGTTGCAGTTCTTGCTGCTGCAAGGCTTGCTGCTGCTGCAAGGACAAACTACGTTGCTGTTGCTGTTGCTGTTGCTGCTGCTGCTGCTGTTTTTGCTGCTGCGCTGCAGCGGCGCGCAGCAGTGCAAGCGCTTTTTGCTGCTGCTGCATTGCAACAGCTCCACGCCCGAGTGTTGCGTCTCCGCTGCTGCGCTGCAGCTGCTGCAGTAAGGGTCGCAGCTGGGACTCCAGCTGCTGCTGTTGCTGTTGTTGCTGTTGCTGCTGTTGCTGTTGTTGCTGTTGCTGTTGTTGCTGTTGCTGTTGCTGTTGCTGCTGCTGCTGCGCAGACCGACACCGAACACAAGTAGAAACATAGACGTGCACCCAAGAGCTAAGGAAGCAGCAGGGAGAGCAGCAGCAAACGAAAACAAGAAAGCGGTCAGAATCATACCAGATCTTGCTGCTGCTGCCTAAGAAGCAGCATCTGCTGCTGTCGTGCAGCAGCTGCTGCAATGGCGCTGAGTGCGCCTTCTCCTCGGTTGGCTTGTTGCCACTGATGTTGCTGCAGCTGACGCAGCAACTGATGCTGCTGCGCTGCAGGGGCATTAGGCAGCACCATCCGCAATGCTGCAGAAAGCTCTTCTGCCGATAGCTGCTGTTGCTGTTGCTGCTGCTGCTGTTGCTGCTGCTGCTGCGTGTTGTGTCCTGGTACCCGCGAGAAACCACCGCTTCCCGCATGATGCATCTGAAGCTGCTGCTGCAGATGCTGCAACAGTTGCTGCTGCTGCTGCTGCGACAATTGCTGCTGCTGCTGCTGCTGCTGCTGCTGCTGCTGCTGCTGCTGCTGCTGCTGTGGCCGCACCTGGGAGCCAATAACACCCACCGCAGCCGGTGTTGCCCCCAACGCTTGGAGAGTTGCTGGTGCTGCCTGCTGGTGCTGTTGCGGTCCTGCATTGCGAGAACCCTGCTGCAACAGCTGCTGCTGCAGTTGCTGCTGCTGTAGCTGCTGCTGTAGCTGCTGCTGCTGTTGTTGCAGCTGCTGCTGTTGTTGCAGCTGCTGCTGTTGTTGCAGCTGCTGCTGTTGTTGTAGCTGCTGCTGTTGTTGTAGCTGCTGCTGTTGTTGCAGCTGCTGCTGCAGTTGCTGTTGTTGGAGCTGCTGCTGCTGCCACTGCTGCTGCCAATGTTGCTGGCGCTGTTTTTGCTGCTGCTGTTGCTGCTGGATGTGTTGCAGAGAGTGCTGCTCCAACATCGCTGCCAAATCTTCCACTGCATCTGGGAAGTAAAAAACCGCAATCCAATCAAAATACCACTAGAAGGAAGGACAACTAGGTGCCTGCAGGAGCCGCAGTTCTGCAAATAGCTTTTTCAGGCGTGAAACGAAAGCAGCAAAAACACGCTTGACTTACTGCTGGGAGCCACAAAATCTGGCCCAAAAGAGGCAAAGTCTGAAGCCTTCCTGCGCTGCTGCTGCTGCTGCTGTGACAGCTGCTGCTGCTGCCGCTGCTGCTTTGCTGCAGTACACTGCGCCTCTGTCGCTTCATCACCCGAAGAAGGGCCGCTGCCTGACGCAGGGGGAGCACCCTCTTGCAGCTGCTGGCGTCCTGTTGCTGCTGATAGCGCGGTACCTTTACCTGCGGAAATGACTTGTGACAAATTGGTGGAGCTGCCGCTGCCTGCGCTCCTCTGCTTCTTCTCCGCCGCTGGAGCAGCGGGAGCAGCGGCAGCTGCTCCCGCTGCCTCGTCCTGAGATGCTTTTTGCTCAGATCTTGGCTCTGAACACACCAGCAGCCGCACAGGCAGCACGGCCAGCTATGAAGCTGCTGCTGCGGAAACTTCGGGGCAGAGCAACCGCAGTAGCACCTGAGAGGGAAGGGCTGCGTTAGGCCGGCAGTTTTAAGAAGAGCTGCACAGCAGTTCCGACAGCATCATCGTACGCCGCCTCCACTCCAATTCGACAATCTCGGTTTCTTTTTTCTTTGCTGCAGCAGCAGCTGTCTTGCGTCTCCTCATCTGCTCGCGCTGCCTGCGCAGTTCCTCGGGCAGCTCGGACTCGTCGAGAGCCTCCCCTGAGTAACGCAGGAAAAGAAGGAGAGGGAGAGCACTGCAAATAAGAAAAATCTGACGAAGGGAGTCGAGGAGGAGGCTCAACAAGAGTCGGCTCAGAGAAGGCGGCAGAGAGGACCTCCCCCTGGACTCCCCAAGTCGTCGCGCAGCGCCACAAATCGGAGTCTCCCGCTCTCTCTGCAAAGTACCACGTGACTTTATGCACCGCTCTCTCTGCAAAGTAGCACGTGACTTTATGCAGGAGGTCTTGGAAAAAAGCAGGCAGGAAGACTAAAAGAGGAAAGCGATCGCCAGAGTGCACGAGGAAGTCGCCCTGTAATACTCATGGCCGACCCCACAACCCAGCAGTGACAGCAGCAGCAGCCGCCTCACTGCCACGTCCATAAGGGGGGTTAGAGATTCACCACTCTATCACTCACCATTCATGATGCGGGCAGTGATCCCGCGCTGCTGCGCAGCACCTCGAGGTCTAAAAGCTTGATTTTCTGCTAGAGCTAGCAGCCGTTCGTTTCGGCGGGGAGGCAGCGGAGGCACTCTGCGCAACACACCACACCCCCGTGAGACAGGTTGGACTCGCCCTAGGGTGGGCACCTGCTCGCCTCCTAACACTGCTGCTGCTTCCTGTGTGCTGCTAGTGCTGCACTGTTACTGCTGCACTGTTACTGCTGTGCTACTTACAAGTCGGACTCAGGTTTCCAGGCAATGTGATACAGCTCGTCAAACTGGAGGCGCTGCACAGGCTCGCCTGCAACAAAGGCACCCGCAGCCAGCCGCGGAGTCGACACCTTGGAGCAAGAAGGCAGGAACGAAGAAACAGCCTAGTTAGTGCCCCCCCCCGCAAACGCGTTTGTGGCTGCAGCAGCAGAACATGCTTGCCTGTGTAGTCCAAAACATTCAGGCAGTTGTCGACTTTCATGCGGGGGTAAGTGGACGCCGTTGCGAAATACGAGCCGCAGGGAGCCCAAAGCGCTAAAACGCTGCAAGGCGCTCTGAATTCACTGATGTGCTGCATGCCGTGAGAGGCCCTGTCTCGGAAATAGAAGCTTACTTCACCTGCATGCATCATGCGCAAGGGGACGAAAAAATTTCGAGGCGGCAAAAATCTATCTTCAAGACAGCAGGCAGCACGACCACAGGCCCCAGCCAATACGGGGAGGCGGCGGGAGGCAGGAACCAGGCGTGTCAAGCACACGCAGTTTCCGCGCGTAAATCTCGCAAATACTGGCACAAAGGAGCACACATTCATAGAGAAGAGGGGTAGGATGTAGAGGGGGAAGAGGGAGAGGGGCATGGGACAGAAAAAGACACGACAGCCGAATACACATACGGCAAGGCTCAGCCCAGATAGAGAGAGAGAGAGAGAAAAGCTCTCGGAAATCGAGAGAACACAACGCAACAGGCAACAGAGGTTTCCGATGCGAAAGATTCTAAAACATCCCAGGCATCAGATGATCGAGGACAAGGCACAAAGACAACAATCAACCCTTTCCTTCTTCCTTCCTTCCTGCTCTTCCTTCCCTCTCAAGTGAAGAGAAAAAGGCAGGCACCCCTTCCGTGAGATACACTTGAGAGAAGCACGAGAAATGGGAGACGTGTCGTACCGGCTAAATTCCCAAAGCCAGCAATTACTGCCATCTGCCCGAACGGACAGAAGGACACAAAGTTGCGGTAGCGGCGCGGAAATACAAACTGCGTGCGTCCTTGGCGATCCAACAGTACAATGTCTGCGACAGCAGAGCAGACAGACACACACACAAACATACAGGAAATGTGGCGAGATGTTGCGCGTCTTCTGCCCCGCCTTCTGACACAAAGCGTGTCCAATATGTGCATGCATTCTTGCATGCCGAAGGTCATAGACAGATGTGTGTTTTCTTGCATACACCCCCACACAGCCATGGACTTGTCAAAGCGCGCGGCGAAACACGCCCCATGCATCGAACCGTCCACCAGGATAGCATCTCCAATCAGCTGGCTCGAATCCTCCCTCGCCTTATAAGAGCTACCGCCCACGTGGCAACAGCGAGAGAGATACGTGTGTGTGTGTGTGTGTGTGTGCCCCAGGAGACACCACACGGCCCACAACAACAGATCAGCAAAACAAAACTCCCTCGTGCGCCTTGAAAAGCCCAAAGGTGACGGCTTACCGCTCGGAGATTTTCCTTCAATAAGGACAAATTCGTCCCTTGTAGGGCTCCACTTGACATCCTGCACGACCTTCTTGCTGATGCGCCGCACGCAGCAGTATAGCGACAACCGAGACTCCTCTTGTGGCTGCTGCTGTTGCTGCTGCTGCTGGAGAGCGAGCCGCTGTAAGTGCTGCAGCGCGGAGATTGCTTGGGGATGCTGCGGCGGTCCCAGAGACACTGCCCAGCAGTCTCCCACGCCTCCATAATTTTCCCCTACAGCAACGCGGAAAGACGCAGCAGCAGGGAGAAGCGGCGGCTCAAGCCCTCCTTGCAGCCAAGAAGGGAGGATACATGAGCGTGCACATGCGCAGGCGATGCGGCGGGAAAAGGCAACGATGCAAAACACAAAGGCGTTGAAAATGCGGAGCAAACACGCGTGCAATGCAGCGAAGGCACGCACTGCTACAGACAAGTAGACAAACAGACGTTCCAGGGAGGGCGGAGGACGCCACACTTCAAAAGACAAAGCGGCTTTTCCAAAGAAGGAACGCTCGGCAAGGCAAAGAAGAGCAAAGAAAAATACCTGTTGCATCCACTGTGGTGTTGGCGACAACGAGCAGCGCTGCGCCCGACGGACTCCACTGGAAATCCGTAGAATCCGCAGATGGCAGAATTTGCCACGCTAGCAGCCGTACCAGCGACTTTTCATAGGCTGCCAAGGCTTCGACTGCTGTTGCCGCAGACACAGCAGCAGCAGCCCGAGCGGCAGGCACTGAAGCAGCAGCAGCAGCAGTAGCTGCTGCTGCTGCTGCTGCTGCTGCTGCCTCCGAAGCCCCCTCCCCAGCTGCTGCACCACTCCCCCCACCTGCACTCCCAGCACCTCTGCTACCGACGCTCCCTCCAGCTCCGCCACTCCCTCCAGCTCCACCACTCCCTCCAGCTCCGCCACTCCCTCCAGCTCCGCCACTCCCTCCAGCTCCGCCACTCCCTCCAGCTCCGCCACTATTACCACCCCCCCCCGCAGAGTCCACGCACTTCTGCAGCTGCTCCTGCAGCACGTCCAGAAGCTGCTGCTGAGGATTCGGTGCTGGTTCGAAGCAAGCAGCCGCCTCCACGTCCTCTCCGTTTTCCTTCGCAGCGGCTACTGCGCATGCAGAGAACGAGGCAGCCGCTGCAACGTTGGGAATTTCAATAACCGAGAAGGACGGCGGGGAAGCAGCCGCCTGCTGCTGCTGCTGGGTGGCTCCAAAGGAGAAACAGGCAATGCACAATCGCTGCTGCTGCTGCTGCGCTTGCTGCTCCTCCTGCTGCTGAAGCTGCAAAGCCGGGCACACCTCAAAGGTTTTCAGACGCCGCACAAACACGCGGAGGAGAAGGCGTCTCAGGTCGTTACCAGGATACACCTGCGAGGGCCCCCACACCGCAGCATGCAGCCTTCATCTCTCGCAAGACGCCAAGCTGCACACCTGGTATACAGCTTGCAGCTGCAGCTGCAGCTGCAGCCAGGCATATACGTATGCGTACCAAGTACAGCCCAGTCGGGCCCAGCTCAAACCTTTTCACTCTCACGTAAAGCTATAAGCAGCGAGAGAGAGGGAGAGACAGATGCACGAGCAAAGACGGGAAGCCAAAGAGGCAACAGGACGCAGAGAGGGGCAGCAAATCTGCCCTCAAAAAGCCGGAGAAATAACAAACGCTTGCGGGAGCAGAGGGAGGGGCGGGGGGAGCATGTGCGTCACCAGGCGAGGCAGCACAAGAAGGAAAGCGACTGCAGCACGCCAGCGCGTGCATGGCCAGAGGTATGGCAGAGAAATCGAAGCCGGAGCGTATCGGGAGCGTGACAATACAATGAGCGAGCAAGAGAGGCTCACAAAAGAAAATGTATGCGGAATAAGTATGTATGTATGTATGTGTGCATGTGTGCGTGTTTGTTTATCTATCCGTGTGTTTGTTTATCTATCTGTGTGAGTGTATCTGCGTGGGGAGGGGGAAAAGGCGGAACACTTACCAGCAAATGCGGTCGACTCTGCATGCAGCAAAAGGCTTCATCATCCCTCCATTGTAGGAGGGGCCAGACAAGCCTCTTCTGCTGCAATGAGACCATGACGCTGCGCGTCGAGACTTCCCACACAAATACGTTGTGCTCGGAGACAGCAGCTGCCCCCGGTGTTGCGGAGGAAGCAGCAGCAGCAGCAGCAGCAGCAGCAGCAGCAGCAGCAGGAGGAGGGGGTGTAACTTCGGGTTTGTTGGTAGTGGCCTCAGTGCCTCCGCTGACGCCGCCTTCTGTGCTGTTGTTGCTGCTGCCTCGCTGCTGCATCAGCTGGGAACGCACGTCTGGCTGGATATTTGCTACCAAATAAGTTCCGAGAGGCGACCAGTGGAGCGCCTTCACCTGAGCCTGGGGATCCACTTGCACGGGCTGCTGCTGGTAGTCTTCAAGCTGCGCGTGTTGATCCTGAGGCACGATTTCTGGCTTCAGGGGTGCAGACACGAGCTCCTGCTGCAGCTCGGCAGTAACCAGCTGCAGAACCTCCTCCCGAAGTGCTGCAGCCGCAGCTTGCGCTGCAGTGGGGGCAGCGGCGATTGTTGCACCTGCAATTGCAGCAGCGGCGGCTGCCGCTGCTGCAGAACCCTTCGACTCCCCTCGCTCCTGCTTCAGCAGCCACTCCGCGCGCAGCAGCTGCTGCGCAGCTTGCAGTTGCACCTGGGGAGTCACACTCCACGTCGGATGCTCCAGCAGCAACAGTCCTCCAGCCGAAGTCACCACAGCCAGTCTTCGACCGCACGGAGACCACGACGCCTCCTTTGTTGCTCCCGGAACGAACAACAATGGCATTAAAACAGTTTGCAGAGGCTGCTGCTGCTGCTGCTGCACCGAGAAGTCGCCATTCATGCTGCTGTAAGCGTTGCTGCACGCTGCCGCCTCAGTTGCGCTTCCCGTAGCACTATCCTGTGGTTCGCCAGTCACCGATCGCGTGGCAGCGACCTCGACTGAGGCACTGCTGTCTCCTCCTTCTTCCGGAACCTCCGAAGACAGGTGTACCCTGAGCAGCTGCAGAACTGTAAGCCCCTTCTTCTCACGACACAGCAAGCAACAGCCTGCTTCCGTGCGAAGCACCTGCGGCTGCGGGGGCACTGCTGCGGCTGCTGCTGCGGCTGCTGCTGCGATGGCTGCTGTCTGCTCGATTTCTGCAACAGCTGAGACGGTTTCGCAGGCGGGAGACATCAGCGGGTCGTCGCCTGCAAAGTTTATCGCCATATTCGTTGCTGCTGTGCAGTCAGCTGTCGGCGCTGCTGCTCCTGCAGGGTGAGCGTCTGCGCTGCCTGCTGCCCCTGCTCTGATGTCGCTCATTGCCAAACGCGGTAGATGGGAAGGCAGAGGGGAAAGGGGCAGTGAGGCAGCAGCTGCTGCTGCTGCTATCTCTGCTGCAGTTAAATCCAGGAAAACGTCAAGAGCGGTGTTAAACGACACGGGCGGCTCGTCTGCAGGTAGTAATCCTCCTCCTCGCGCAGATCTGCTGGTCGGCAGCTCTGTCTGTAAGGGTGCTGCGTATTGCAGTGGATGCCAGAGAAACGTATTTCTTGCGCTGCAGTTGCCAGACTGCGTGCAGCTTGCAACGCAGTTTCAGGTGCACTTGCGTCTTGTGCCTGCTGTGCAAGGTGAGGCGGCTGAGGCTGCCGCTCTGTCTTAAACTGCCGCGTTGGGCTTTTTGCGCTGGTGTTGCTAAGGCTGCTGCCTCCCCAGGGGGTCTCTTCTTACAGTGTTTCGCAGAAGATGCAAACAGCTGCTGCTGTCTTTTCCTGGCGTAAACCCAAGTATGCGGCGAACAGTAACGCGCCGCTAAAAGCCAGCTTGCTGCTCAAGTGTACATACAGCGCACACGGCAGGGGGAAAAGACGTGGCACCAGTCGCTAGGCAAGGCGCTGCAGCGGAACGAGGCACAGACACGTGAAGAGGACGCCTCAGGAGCTGTAGATTTTGCTGCAGATGGCTTCGATGCATCCGTACGCTCTGTGGCAGAAGTATTACAGCGGGCCGAAAGGGTGGCTTTGAGCTGCGACCACCGTTAGGCTGAGCACAGTTGGCAAACTCTGGATGTGGAGGCTTCGCAAGAACTCCTAATGGAGCGCTGACTGTGTTCTAAAGCTGCGGCGCCTACAACTGCTGCTGCGAAGAGCCTCAGCGGAGTGCAGACGAGGAAGGACTGAGAGGCAGGTGAACATACAACGAGTAGACTGGGCAGCAAGACGCCGAGACGAAGGCCTCTGGAGGCAGTCGAGCCGTGAACGCCGTTCGAGAGCCACAGGCGCACCAAGGGTAAAGAACAGAGGTCTATGGCATTTTGCAGCAGCAGCTGTTGCTGCTGCTCCTAAAACTTCTGCTGCTATGGCGTCCGCTGTGGCGAGCAAGAGCGGCGCTAGAACGCCTCGGACGACGGTGGAATGCAATGGGAAACACTGCAGAGGGTTACACTAGGGGGCCCCGGAGTTCTCTCTGCTACCTTAGAAGCAGCAGTGCTCGCAACAGCAGAAGCAGCCGAATTGCCGCTGTTATTGCAGTGCATGCAGAGAGGTGTACAGGCACCCACGGATTTGTTGCTGTGGCTGCTCTCCAACTAACATGCGACGCCACAAGGTGAAAAGTATGAAGAAACAGACGAAACCAAGGCAACAGGAGCTTCTCCAAGACAGAAAAGAGCCGCAACAGCGCTGCAGACGCCGCGCGATGGTTTAGCGTTTAGGGTCCAGGGGAAAGGCCCCCAGATATCAGGAAATCACAAAGCAGAAAAAGCAGAGTGTGACTCGTATTGCTGTTTACCTCTCCTGCTCTCTTTTGCTGCTCTTGGCGCAGCACTGGCAGAAGCCACTGCAGCAGTAGCTGCTGCTGCCGCTGCAATACGAGCAAGCACACATGAGGCAGCTTAGTAATCTCCTTAATTGTCTCCATCCATATTTTTGCAGACAAAAATTCAGAACCCCAAGCCATACCATTTATTTTAGTCTTTTAACCCCGAACCTTCAGCCCCTGTAGGCAGCGCTCTCCGCAACCCCCCACGGCCCCGTATGTTGTCAACTCCCACATGTAGGCACTTAAGCCTGCTATTCATCCTAAACTTCAGAACATAACACCTTTCACTGAACTCTCATCAGCAATCGCTATCCATTCCTAGGGGCTTGGGGCTTTTCCGTGGTTTACGAGGCCAAATCTGTCCGCAGTCTGCAGCGAGATCAGCTTGCATGGCGAACCAAGCAAAACAGTGAAATGTTCATGCGACACTTACCTTCAGGAAGTTATACATAAGTATGCACTGTGTGGCTTGACGCTTCCTACGTGCTATGCGCTGCAGAGCGGGACTAGCTCAATACTATTAAAAACTGGTTGTGTGGTACACGTCATGTGACTATACGGCCAAGGTTTTCTCACGGAAGCACGCAACTCGTGACTCAATATGATCTTGGCAGAAAGGTGTTTGGTGTTTGTCGAAATAACTCCCGCTTTCTTCCTCTCCCCGCAGAGTTCTCTCCAAATAGAGGACAACAGAGTGTGCTTGTTGCATTATCCAAGCACTGATAGTATTCACAGCTAATGTCACACAGCATGTAGCATAAACACACAAAACAATGCATCCCCTAGGTTCGGGGAAACAGGAATTTGCAATACGAGATGTCCAACGAGACAAGTCAAAAAGTGAATATAACCCATAGAAAAGTATTGCTAATGTAGTAGGAAGCTTGTTTGTGGCAGACCCCGCTACTTCCTCCCTTCCATTTCAGACATTCGCTCTCAGTTCTGCTCATATCGATCGATACAAATCTCACGCAAGATAGCAGAAGAGTTCCTGCTGTGTCGCCAATCCCCAGGCAGGCAGGAACATAAAAACTGTGCAAAAGAGGGCAGCGATCGGGTGCATTTGAACGTAAGGTGAAATCGAAGGGAGTAGATACACAGACACTAGTCAATCCAACACGACCGCGGCGGTGTGGTGACTCAGTGCCGCTGATGCGACTGAGAATATCCACTACTTCTGCAGGACCTCCGCTCTTCGTAGACGAGTGTCGTAATACAAATACAGCTTGTGTATGCAGCATACTCAACTTACAAGATCCAAAAAGGGCATAAGAAAGAATGTAGGGACAACTTACCTAAGCGTGTCTGCGCATAAAAATTAGTGTTAAAGAGACTCTCACGATAGTGCCTAAGAACTTCTCAAGCATTTTTCCTTAAGGAGGGTCGCTATTTCTGGCTTAGGATGATCTGGGGAAGAAAAATCACAGAACAAACCGAGTAACACCATCAATGGTGACTAGCATTGTTAGCTAAACTAAGCCAAAAAGCTGGATCGTCATGAGCAAGACCCGCCATTGCCCCTTCAGTCACTGAAGCTGTCGCTCCCCGCGACAGTTCTCTAGACACTGCCCCTACCGTGTCCTCGGCGCTCAATTTGTGAAGTCCATCACTTCTATGCCTCCCGGTAGGTCCTCCGACTTGACGCGATTCCCTTGCCTCTGCGTGGCCATATCCGCGGATAAATCGGTAAACCCTAAAACATTTCGGCGAAGCTAATATTGATAGCTCTGTGATTCCTCCAGCGTTAGGGAGATCGATCGAATACAAGAGAGCATGGATTTTTTAGAGGATGGCAAATGGTCATAGTCAACTGGCGACAAACCTCTTTGCCTGGTCACCTTTTTGTGCACCTCTTAAAGCCTGCTGCTTCACCAGTACCAGTCGCCAGGCTTGAAATATAAGCCGACAACCGATTGCCGTTATTCTGTACTGTGCTTGTCTCTTGAGCTTCGCGCATACATTTGCGTGCACCGATGCGCTGTTGTCCGATCGTTCGGCCGGGTAAAGCTGCCGCTGACCTTCGAGCATCAGGTCCAGGCTTAAACTGGTGAGGGCTTCTCAATGTGGAGCACGGATGCGGGGGAGCAGCGGGTAAAAGATAGCACTGTTGCATCATAGACAAACCCAGAACAAGGAAAAGAATTGTGGCACGCAGTGGCTACTATGAGCACAGTGTCACAGAAGATGTAAAAGTGTGGAATGATTGTGCTCTTCCTGTCTACCTGCTTCAGGGGTGCTTACACTGGTACTATGTTTAAGCATAGGCGACCCGTACAGGCACGCCAGAACGCACCATCGAGCTCTAGATAGCTATTATAAACACTCTTGAAGGATCCGCGGAGCTTCAGCCAAGATGTGAGAGCAACTATGCAACTTTTTGAGCTGTTCTAATGTTGCAGCGAAGGACGAAATGGACATGTTTTTCTGGGTCTGGCGATAACTACGTGAATGTTATCCTTACTCTCCACCTCTATCAGTTCAACAGTAAAGTGCATATTCATATCAATACATATTATTTGATAGACCAGAAGGCTTAACAAAAGGCCGGATTTGCAGAATTGCGTTACGTCAGCTGCTGACAATCTAGGCATTACAGTGGGTACAGCTTAGCTGGGGAGGGCATCCCCAGCCACCAGAGGTACCATCCGAGCTTTTTCACTGTAGCATGAGTCCCTCAATGGTCAGGAGAGCACGATAGTGCTTTTGTCCAAAATAACATCGCGAAGCAAAGTCAGAATGTGCGAAACCGGCGGACTCTCCGCTCTACTTTTTGCAGCCGCAGGCACCCCTCAACGCATTAGCATCTTAGCCTTTTGCCATGATGGAGCTTGTGGATAGCGTTGGATGCATGGGTGTCAAAGCACGAGAAACACGCAATTTTAGTAGAAGAGGTGAAGCTTCAGAGAAGAGAGCGGCTGGAGTTTACGACAGATATCCTCAAGGAGTCCCCCATTTGCTGAAACCCTGCTGATCGGCCTTTCAACGGCTATGTCACTGCTTATCCTGTGACCACCTGAACTGATACTCTAAGTAGACCTAACATAAATCTCTTATATACCAGCTGTTCGTGTATATTGTGACTCTCGCAATCCAGAGCTCCATATTTCTTAATATACTGATCTATTAACAGATTTTCCTGCTTTAAAATATCAAGTCGTCCTGCAGCTTGGTGGTATGCTGATCTCGGCAACGGCCAACGAGGCAGACCTGTAAAAGGGTTGAATTGTATGGATCCTGCAGATAGCTGACCTTCTCGACATAGATGGCTCCACGATTAGGGTGCTTTGAAGTGCTTCTTTCTTTCATAAACAGGCCTCAAGGAGCCTTCATTTCGCTTCATCGGGGAAGGCCGATCGAGGTATATCATTAATCGGCTAACGAGATTGAGTACTTGCCGAGCCTTTTGGCCGTCATTCTTCTATGATCAAGAAAACATTGTCGGCTTATCTCTAAATTTTTTGCAGGCTGACATATGATGCCTTTTTACCAGCTGTGGAGCTACTTTGTTTACATATCCTTGCAGAACGGCATGTGCCGTCCGACAGGCGGTGTGCCACCATCAATTTCCATCGCCAGAAGTTTTATTCAGCACCTGCGCTAAGAAACAGTCAGATTATTTACGCAGCATACAACTTTGTGGAAATTAGATGGTTATTTTAGTAAAACTTCGCATGTCACAGCCCACAGCCAGTGGATTACCTTGGACACAGGTGCCTCAGACCACGGGGGCTTTGAACTGTAAGGCTCTACCTAGGGTCCCAGTTAGAAGAGGCTCATCTTCTGGCTTAATAAAGACTCGATAGGGAATGATTGAGTGTCTCCAAAGATCCACAACCTTTCATGGGGGCACCTGTCATTTCCGGTACGGCAAGGGAGGAGCAGCTAGGGGCGCGCGTAGCTGCATCCTCTAAGCGTTTCCAGCGTGTACAGCTAATCACAAATTGCTTTCGGAGTACACGCAAGCAGCAATGCACTTTTTATATCGAGGTAATCATTCCTTTTCAAAATATTCACGAACGGGCAATCCAGTACGCATTCATTTACAGATTCTTGAGCTAGTATATCTATTCTGGAAGAGAGTGTCGTTGCTTTGCCTCCTACACGCACTGTTCACCTCAACCACGACCGTGAGCTTTTCTGGCGGCGCGGCCGTATTCTTTTTGACCCCTGTTCAGAGTTGGCTAGTGTTGGTATTTGCCCCCGTCGATTTCACTTCACAAGTTGATGCCCAATATGCCTTTTTCATCTCCAATGTTTCCGCCTTTCTACCCGCTTCAGGAGTGGTGAGAGCATGAAAGCCCTTCTGTTCTCGTACACTCAGTTGGCCTGGGTATTACTTCGCATAACACAAGGCCTTTCTTGCGAAGGGTGAAAAGTTGTGGGAAGCAAAGCCATACTTTGACCCTTTCCACTACAGTAGTGATATGTAATCAAGAATCAGTGAAGGAGTTGGTTGAGTAGTTTGGCCGATCATATTTCTCATTTACTGCGAAGTAGCGGCAACTTAATACAGGCAGATGCAATGTTGTGCGCTAGATGCGTTGTGCAACTAGGTATGCATGCTCTAAATGCTTCAAATGTGCAGCTACACGCAGCTGTCCGTCCCTCTCCATTTGTATGGGAAGCCTGAGGAAGGTGGAGAGAGAAGCAGGAGGGCCTTTCGGAAAAGCATTCCTAAGCTTCCTACTAACTTTACCTTGTACATGGAGCTACGTGTCGCCCTATGAATCACCAAAGATGGAGCGTTACACACTACGGCTTCAGCATCAAATGGCAAAAAGCCGCCAGCTAGTGTGGATTCATCAGTTTTTGCCCATCAGTACACAGATCGTGCCCACAGACTGCGTGCAAGCATAAAACATAACTGCGCTTCCAGCAAATATCCCCCTGATTCCGCAAACCCCCATTTGCTCATGCCACCGATGTATAAGGTTTTAGCAGACACGATGAGAGTGAGGAGAGGCTATTAGGCAGAACATTTTTGCCTGGTGTTATCGTGGCCTACTCTTCGTAGAAATCTGACCGTCCCGAACGCCATAGAGGAGGAGAAGCACCAGGCAGAAGGAAGGGAGGAGATACCGCGCTCTGTGAGGTGACCCATATTTATCATATGTGTCCCATATCTATTATATAGCCAAAATAAATGGACTAGATAATCAGAATCGCCCTACATGAATAGCAGAGAGGACTTGGGAACATGGTGCGTGCGATACGGCTGTCGGCCGTGCCCATGGGACAGCTGCACGAGTGGAACAGCATGAATTTGTGCTTTCCCTGTCCCATTTAATGAAAACAACGCAACAGATAGGAAGCAAATTCAGTAATTTAATCTGGTCGACGTGCCACAGTAAAGCCCACCACCGATGTTGGGAGAAGCTGGCAACAGCAGCAATTCAATAAGTGGGCAGTGGGTGCTACATGTCTTAGGGATTGAATCTGCATCCATGGCCATTTCCACCTGCATTTCCTCCTGTTATCTTCAAGCAAGCATTTAAAGGGGTTGTCGACTACCAGCAAGCAGCTGAATTCTGGCCCACACCAGCGCGCTCATTTAGGCCAGCCCCGTGGAAATGTTGGGTGGCATCCGCTTTTTTTCTCCCGAAGAGGGCTATTGAATTCCTCTCTGTCCCTGTTTTATTTATTGTCTACACAAATACCTAAACATAGGGGGGCGGATTGCTCTGTCCTCCCCTGCGACTTTATGATTTCCTGTCACCCACTGGTGGACACGGCCACTGTTGGTCACGCTCAAATAACACTTATTTGCGTTTTCGCCAGAAAAACGAAACCGCAGAACAAATTTGGTTGACAGAACCGCGACAAACGTATACGAATAACTGCTTTGTCTTTCTGCGCGTTGGCCTGCAAAATGAGACTAGAGGAAGGGATCGCCTTAGTTAAGACCAAGCTCCAGAACTTCCGCATGGAAGATGGTACGCTGGTGTACCATACACTTTCATACCTAAAGGAGGTCGGACAAGGCCCTTTTTGGAAACAATACCTATTGAATCCAACTGTTTCTTATGATGACGCCATATATGTCATTGTGGTAAGTTGAATAATTCTCCCTTTTAGGCTGTGTTTTGACCAGGCACTGATTGCTCTCGTTGGTTTCAGAGGCTCAAAACACAACTAGGATCGCGCATGACGCGCGCCAATGTCTTGGGATATTCCGTACTCTTAAATCAGACCCCTTTGCAAGATATAAAGGCTCGGGATACGCAGCGTCTCTGGTGTGATTGTGTGAGATCATTTTACGATCGTATTTGGGGTATTGAGCGTGGCCCGCACTGTTGGGAGAGCCGAAGTGATTGCTGGCAGACTCTGGGTTGTGCTATTTCTGCTTTGCATGTGTGGGGGTGCCGCTGTATGTATGTCTCTTAGGCGTTCATTGGGTTGATGTTCATTAGAGTGGTTATCGGCGGATGCAGCAGCGGCCCATTGAAGAAGCTGCCTTGCATCTCAAAGAATCTTGCGAAGTCCAATAATTGGACTCGGCCTGGAAAGCTACACAAATTCGGGGAAAACGTGTGGTAATACTCGATAACCCCTGTCCCAACAACCTGCATACAAATGAGCAATCCGGTTAATAATGTAATTCCATTGCCTGCTTTTTTATTTGTATCCAGGTATACATTGTGGCACGGAACTGCGTGCCTCTGGGGCCTGTACGTCCTGTATTGGGAAGCCGGTACACCAGAAGTTCCAGGGTGGCCGCGATTGCATATGGGGCAGCCGGATGGCCGTTGGTGAGCAGCTGTTGATTAGACTACGGCTGAAGATCTCGTTGAGGAACGACACTTCCCGTTACCTTTTATGCTATGATCATTCAGAGCTAATTTCTCTCTTGCACACGCCTTTGCTTTCAGGTACTGGATGGCTTCGCCAGAGGAGCTTTCTAGAGGATCTGGCGGCTGGCCTCTGCTCGTTCCCTCGGTGCCGGCTCGAAACTACTACCTCTGCCAGCTGGCCTTCTGGATAACTTGTCTTGTCTTTATGAATTTGGAAACAAGAAGGAGGGACTTTGGACTCTTCCTTCTTCATCATGTGCTCACGATTACGCTTGTCGGTCTTTCCTACTGTTGCTCCTACTGGAAACTCGGCACGGTATGAAAATGAGCGCAATGGAAGAAACATGCAGAACTACCAACGAAGCGCTAAAATATCAGTGTACTCCTGGCGTCTTTCGCTGGACTAACTCTGAGCTTCTCTGCAAATTCAGCTCTCACGCATTTTTGAAATTGGCCCTTTCTTTCGTGTCAAAGTGTTCCACGTACCAACTCCTTTACACTTTGCGGTTTGGAATAGCAGTGCATATATAGATATAGCGCCTTGTGTACGTGATGCCTTTCGCAGAGTGTTTTATTACTCCACGATATGGCTGACTTCTTCCTGTATCTCTCCAAGATGCTGCACTACAGCCGCGTGAAATCGGGCCCAGTTGAGATCGCGTTTGCTACTTTTACAATTGTTTTTTTTGTAGCTCGGCTAGTACTGTACCCTCTGTATTGCGTGAGGCCGTGTCTCAACACCGCCCTTATCAAAGAATTTACCCGAGACTTTGTGGATAGCCGCTGGCATATCCCCGGTGGAACCGTTCTCCCTGGATTTCTCGTCGTCCTTCAGGTGTGTCTTCGTATGCGGCTTGGTGTTGCTAATACATTCTGCCTTTGCACATTCAGCTTTACCGCAGTGCGAAAGAATTCCTCGCTTCCCCTCATCTCTTCTTGTGTCAAGCTTGCCAGCGAGGTTCCATTTTCTATTCGGAGGATGGCATTCTGCCGGCCTGTTGCGCCACGTAGGTATTGCACATTTACTGGTTCTACTGCATCATTCGCATGATCATTGGACTCGTTCGCGCCATTCGTAGTGAGTACAAGCCGAACCGACCAACCCCTTTCCCCGTCCAACGGATGGCACTACCCCTTGCTTCGTTCAAGGCAGTGACCGTACCCCACCGTTCTCCCTACCTATTTGTGTTCAATGTACTGGTTGACTGTGAGCCTCAATGCCGCTTGCAGAAGGTTCCAGGGAAGACTGTGAAGACATTAGGAGCGAAGATGGAAGCGATGACGAGACGAATGAAGACGCAAAGAAAATACAGTGATAGTATTGCTTGGGGGCCTACCCCGTAGTTCTGGTTGCTAGCCTCACTTTGGGATGGCAACAATCGAATTCTTGGCTGCTACACTGCAGATAGGGTTTGATTGCGTCGTTTGCCTGCATACGAATTGTCTGGCAGACCCTGGCCAGCACATGCGGTAGCTGCAGGACCTTGCTCTTAGCCTGCTTCGCCGCACTATCCTGACACTACCATGAGACGCCCTAAATAACTAATTTGTCATAACTCAGCAGTTCAAACTCAGATAATGCAGTGCATCTTGCACCGAAAATACCCCACTGCGTCCTCCCTCAAGCTTGAATATACGCAGGCTTCCAGGCAAGGGCTCTGCGAGTGCCCCCTACTGTGCCCGTCGATCAGTGGCCAAAGGATACAGCACTGGAGCACTGAAAATGCCACCCTCCATCGGGAACGGCGGGACTAGAAAAAAAATTTGCCTCTTGGGTCGTGATTAGTGCTCATTCTCTGCCGTTGCCACTTTCGACTCGAAAACTCATCGCTAACTGCGATTCGACTGTCGTCTGTACCTGCGCAGCCAGCGAAGCAGGCTGCATAGAAAGCCAGCAGCACTGCGGCAGTTGTTGCTGCGGCTAGACTATCGGCAGACACGGCAGCAAGGGAGCTGCACGTTTTTGCCCCCAAGGAGCTCACCCGTAGAAATGCATGGCCGCTGCTGCCGCCTCACATCTTCCATTCTAAAAAGTAGCTCAGCAGTAACGCAAGAAGTGGCAACACCCAAATATACCAGGGCCTCTTGCTGGTCGCCATTTTAAGCTTCTCTGTCCTCACACAGTTTATTAAAGCCTTCCAGTAGCGGTCGTGCTCCGCCTGAAGGGCCCCTGTGTTTTGGAGGTCCTTGTGCGCGTCGGAGCCTTTGGGGTTTTCAATGGAAATATCGGCGAACGAAAACAGCCGCAAAGCCGCTATGACTCCCCAGCGCCATTCCCCCCCGAATAGAAACTCCACTCTGACCCTTTCGCTTCCCTCTTCCCCCTCTGCTGCGGGGGCTAACTCCGCCAGGACTGCAGGAGCTCCGTGCGCCTTTAGCTGTTGCTCCAGCAAGGGGGCATGTTGTGTCGTCAGATACCTCCTTTGGTGAAGAGAAACGTGTAAAGCAGAAGGAGGCCCCTCGCGCTCACCCCATGCCTCCTCAAGAGAGCCATTCAAGGACCCCACAGCGCCACGCACCCAATCTGCTATCAGAAACTCCATTGCAGTTTTTAGCGTTTGGTGTTTAGGGTTCAGGGAAACGGCTCCCTGAGCCAGAGAGCAGCGCACTACAGTATACCCACCGGCGCGAAGCATCTGCTGCTGCTTTTGCTGCACAAAGGCGGAAACGGTAGACACACACCCGTCCTCAGCAATGCGAAGGCATAGGGAGGGAGTGACTGACGAGAAGAGCTCTATTTGCAATGCATCAAAATCCTCCCCTCCTGGAGCTGATGCAGCTCCTGCTGTTGCTGCTGCAATCGCTGTGCTAATGGTCGTATCCGGAGCACATGGAGCACCCTTCAAAGTACCAAGCTGCTGCCCAGAGCCATGCGTGGAGCTCCGTTGAGACAGTCCCTTACGGAGACAGCAGTAGAAGGGGAAAGACTCTCTAGAGTACCCCATAGGGGCCTCCTCCAAGCCTGCGAACACCCTTAGTGCCCGACGCAAGGCCCTTCGGAGCTGCCCTGTTCCCAATATCGTTGCCGCGGAGTGCTGCCGCATGAGCGAAGGGTGCAACAACAGGGTAAGGTTCAGACTTAGGGGGCTGCAACAAAGTTGCAGCATCTGTTGTTGCTGCTGCCTCAAGAGTGAGGACGACGGGAACAAGGTGGCACTCGATAAGGAAGACCAGGATGAATTGCCAGACATCCAGGAGAAGTGTGCAACGCTGTCTTGCAGATTGTGCTGCTGGAGGAGTACGAGGACAAAGGGCTGCTTCGGGAGGCCTTTTGTGCTGCAGCCTCCTTCTTCGTAAAGATGCAGCACCGCTGCAGTTGCTGCCTCATCTGCAGCGTTAAGACCCTCAAGAGTGCCGTCTGCCACCGCTGAAGCCAGCCGACTCAGCTGTAACTCGTGCTGCAGCTGTTGCTGTTGCTGATGCAGCTGATCAGCAGGGACGGAGACACGAGCCCATACCCCCAAGACTGCGAGACCCCCCACCAGATGGTGTGAGCAGCAAAGAGACGCCTGGCGAATCAGTCGGTCCACCACTTGCTGCTGATGGGCTTGCTGCAGCTGCTGCAAAAAGACCAACGCGTCTGCGCCCTCCTGAAAATCCGGATCGGAAGAGAGCGAGGCCAGAGGGGACCACTGGAGGGCATGCACGGACCCCTTGGAAGCCCCTCCCGCTTCTGATGCGGCGGCTTCTGGATAATACGATCCAAGGAGTAAGCCGAGTGGCACTCCAGACGAGGGCGGCAGTGACGCCTTCGCTGCAAGAAGACGGGAGACAGCGGCACTCATGTTAGGGGTGGAAATCCTGAGCTGTAGATCAAGTTGGACGTGCAGTAAGCGCTGTTGTTCGGGTCGAGACTTTGGGATGCCACACTTGGATTGTCTCACGAGCCGGCGCTGAGGACTGTGCTGCTGGTGTTGCTGGTATGGCTGCCTTTAGTGCTGGAGCTGCTGGCACTCCGCATGGTTAGACGAGCTGCATCGCCGCAAGACAGTGCCGATACACCCGCTGATGCTCCTTCATGCTAGGAATTAGGGCTTCGGGAGAAGGAACTGCAGTTTCTGTATTCAAGACGACCCGTGCCCCCCTGAAACACGCACTGCCGATGTCGTTATCGTTCCGGAATTCGGGGTTAGGGTCCGTGGTTTACAGACTGCGCCGATAAGAGCAAGCGGAAGAAATAAAGAAAACAATAGCGGAAGCTTTAGAGCTTGGAGTTTACGGTTTGCGCAGCAGCGGGGCCTCGCATCCGAAGCAGTGGCGGCTGCAGCCGCCGTTGCTGCTGCTGCTGCATCTGCTGCCGCTGTTTCTGTCGTGGTTTAGGGTTCAGGGTTTTGGTTTGTCTGTATTTTACTCCCCGGAGTCTTGCCCTGAAAGGCCCCCTTGTCCACGTGTGTTGCTGCCGCCGCTGCTATTGCTGCTGCTGCTGCTGCCACTGCGGGACAGCTTCTCTCTCACTTCTGCCTCTCTTCCCTCCGCGACAAGACCATCCCAAGAAAATGTTCTTCGTCAACTGGTGAGCTATTAACTTCAAACTCAAAGGGCCGTATGAACTCCGCGAGGAGGCGACAGACACAGCCCGATCTGCGCCGTTCTGGGACGCATGATGTATGAGGGATTGTTTGGGGAGTCTTATGTTTAAGAGTCCTCGCTTTTCGCGTGGATTTCCGGGGCCAGCCAGAAATGGCTTTAAACGCAGCCCTCCAGCGCCATTGCATGGGTTGCGGCCCCCTTAATTGGCGGGGAATAGCTCAAGCGTCCACTCCGCCGTGTACTTGTTTCGCGCCGCGCTGTTCAAAAGGCGCACCAACAACTCAAAGCCGCAGTCTCAGAGATATATGCTGGCCCCTCTCACGTTCTGTGACCTAATGGAAGGGTCCGCTGGGCTCTGTCTCCGTTTGACTTGAGGCAGCCTCTGAGTCTCGACGCTGCCGTGTTTGGGCAGCGTTGTGCGCTCTAGAGAGGCCATTTCCATGATTTTCTGCAATCCGTACACGTTTTCTCTCCTGAGGGTCTGGCGTTGCCCCTTCTTCGCTCAAGTTTTTGCGGCTGCCTGTGGGTTGCCTGTCTGCATTTTTGCTGGCAACGGCCTTTCAAGTGCGCTTTCCGACGCCGTTTTACGGTGCAGGTTCTGGGATGTATTAGGCTACTTTGGCCTCTCCCGCAAGTCTGCGCGGATCGTTTTCTTAGGCTTGGATAATGCGGGCAAGACCACACTTCTCCACATGCTCAAGGATGACAGGGTTGCGCAGCATGTGCCGACCCTCCACCCGCGTAAGTTGAGGGGCTTTGCAAATACAGCGCACTGTGGACGGCTTGTGTGTATGGCCTGCTTGGCTGTCAGAGTGCCTCTTGAAACTTGTGCCCTTAGGGGTAGGACTTTTTGTGAGTGGCGCACTCCGAATCATTGTGCCTGCTGATGAAGCTTCTAAAATACACGGATTGCGCGTTTCGCAGATTCTGAGGAACTCATCGTAGGAAAGATTCGCTTCAAGACTTTTGACCTTGGAGGACACGAGACGGGTAAAGCGCATAGCCCCTCTTTTTTTTCAAGGGAGCCTCCTATCCTGGGATCCCCCACAAGAGACCTTGCGCAGGAGGCTTCGGTGCGCTGGCGCGTTCCTGCTGCCTGAAGTTGGGCAGCGGGAGGAGGGCAGCTGCTTCGTAATTTCGTGACGGTGTGGACAGGGGCTATAGCAGGTGGCTTGGCGTGTGTGTCTGTAGCGCGGAGGATATGGAGGGATTACTTTGCGGCAGTTGACGCGATCGTCTTCATGGTGGACGCCACGGACAGAGGGCGATTCCAAGAAGCAAAAGAAGAACTGACGGTGATCTTTCGTACATACCAAGCAGTTCATGCAAGGAGCACACCGTGGACCCCTGTACTGGCACCGCCTTTCGCAGCCGTTTATTGCTTTCCAGACTGTCTGACGTCGTGACACTCAGTCTTTCCTTTTTAGCCCGTTTAAAGGGGTGGCCCTGCGTAGCCTTGTGGCGAATCTTGGGGAGGATGATGAAAGGAAGGAACCTCCCCCTTTCCCCCGCCTCGCGGTTTGCTCTGTATATGCATGCAGCATTTGCTGGAGACCCAGGAGCTGGCGTCAGTGCCTTTCGTAGTTCTGGGAAACAAGATTGATAAGCCTCAGGCTGCGAGCGAAGAGGAGCTGAGACAGCAATTGGGGTTATATGCACACATCACATTTGGTAGAGATGTGCGCTTGGGTTGAAGGGTGGGGTTGGGCACGCCTGTAGAGTGGGCAAGACTATGGCATATAGGCCTCTTACGCAACTCCCTTTCAAGCTATCCGGGAAAAGGCGACATGGGGTCAAGGATGAGGGGCTCGCGACAGGCCGCATGCCGTGAAATGCGGCTTTTTTCTCTCTCTACGTCTGCCTGGTGTTTCGCAGAGGAAGCCCGTTCCAGGAGTGCGCCCTGTCGAGATCTTCATGTGTTCTGTCATCAAACGCATGGGCTACGCAGATGGTAAGGCATCGGTCCTACTGCTGCAACTCTTACTGCCGTTTTCTTGCTGCCGCTAGTCATCTAGGCAAAGCAAAGCAGCGGGCAGCAGCTGCGCTCTCTCTATGATGGCCTCTCGGTGTGCCTCCCTTTTCTGTATTCCCCTCGCATCCCTCAGCGCGTGCGCTGTGTTGCGCTCGCTGGCGACGGGTTCTACCTCTTGGCATCTTTTTCCAGGCCGCATCTGTGGGGCCATGTTTGACGAGATGCTATTTCCCCTGCTGCCTGGCCGCTTTCGTGCTTGCAGCGTTCCGATGGCTTTCCCAGTTTCTCACCTGAGGAAGAGGATTTCTTCCAGGAGACTCCTTGGAAAGCGCCAAGGAGCCCCCCTAAGGGGCATCATCTGGTGTATCGCTGAGGGTCCTTGCCCCATCTGGACCTCTTCCAGATGGAGGCCATGGCCATCCGAAGCAGACAGGCGTGTGAGCTACCGGAACGGTAAAAAATCGTGGAGCCACAGGCCCCCTTCAAGGTGGACGCATTCCATCAATGTGTTGTGCTGAGAGAGCGGCTTATTCTTATACAGAGTCCTTGGGCTAATTCCACGCCAGGGAGTCCCTCCGATAGGGGGTCTTCCTAGGGAACACTTTTGCAGTATATGAGTCGCTGTCTCGTACTATGTGCACCCTAGGACAGAGCGTGGGGTCGCGTGCATTCTGTATAGACAGCTATGGCGCGCCTTGCTCATATGAAACACCGTGGAAAAAGATTCCCAAGTTCATGTAACGCGCTTTGCCCAACAGGCAAAGAAACAAGCCTCTCAATGTCTCGGGGGTGCAGCCGTCAATGGGGGACGCTACTGCTGGTGCTGGTGTTTTTCTAATACACCAAGTATACGCCATTAGCAGCAAAGGCAGCCGCCGCCTCAACCCTAAACTCATCTTCTTTCGTCTCACGATTCAGTGACGGGTGCACGCACAGAGGAGGGGCAAAATTTGGGGGGTGGCAAGGCATACTCAGACAAGAGAAGTCTGGAGTAAAGTGAGAACAGTGTGTGCGAAACCCAGAGCGACAAGGCTCTGCACGGGACGGCAGCACACGTAACTACTCATGGCCATGTAATCATCTGAATAGAACGGGAAGACTACTTACCTCTTAAACAGTGGAGCGGAGTGGGATACGAGGCAGTCCTCGCCCCAACTAAATAAAATGCTTCGTTACATCACCCTCCACAGGTTTACGAAAACTTCTCCTTCTCTTGACTCGACAGCCAGCTCGAGAGCACGTTTGCGAGTGCAGTTAGCTTGTGAGTATTTTTAAGGAGCTTTTGGGCTACACCACCCAAGCGCTCCTTGTCGGCTGATAAAGCGCTATCGAAGCCGATGAGGAGAACTTCCGTGTGCTTATCCAGCGCATCTATGGCTGTGCAAGCTCCCATTATGCGACGGCCATGCTGTTCGACATATGGCCCCAAAATGGTGTGCCTCCACCAACGGGCTCTGTGCTGCGCATCTTCTAAGCGGCGCTGCACCCTCTTGATTTCAGATTCCAAAAGTTCCTTCTTCATCGCGAACTCCCGGCGCTCTTTTTCGAGGTCTTCGTAGAGCTGCTTTAATCCTGCGTCTTGGTGCTGATCCGGCTGCTTGCCGAACCACCATTGGCTCTGAAGCTTCTTGAGTGTAGCACCAACCTCAGCGAGCTGAGTGGAGAGCTGCAAGATGTCTTGCTCTAGCGATCTTACGTCCCCCACATCCGGCAGCACGCCTGGCCGCCCCTTCAACTGATCCTTCAGCTCTAGAACATCTGCTTTAACGTCGCTTATTCCCTTGAAAAGAAGTTCGTTATAACTGCGCCTCTTCGCAACAACGTCCATCTGCGCGACAAGCTTCTCCTGATACTCCTCCATCCGGGCCAGCGTCTGTGAAGCTTCTGCTGCTCGAGTTTGAGAACGCATCTCCAAATTCTCAATGGCGTGCCTCGCGCTAGTCACGGATGCCTGCAATTCCAACAAGCGCTTCCCTAACTCCCCCAGGTGGCTCACTGCACGATGGTCAATCTGCGATCCCTGCGCCTGACTCTGCTGTTCAGCCTCTAGAGCCGAACAGATATCCGTCAATTGCTTCTCAACCTGCAGTGCCTTGGTCAGTTCTTGCAGAAGTGCCGACTGATAGGATTGCTCATTCTCAAGGGTAGAGTCTGCCGACTCGACGGCGTCTGCACGCGGGCCTTGTTCTGTTTTCAGCTCTTTGTGAACCGCCGAAATTATGTTGCTTTCAATCTCACTAGATTCCAACAGCTTCCGCTGAGCTGACTGATGAGCAACCAATGCAGCAACTAATATCAGCAGCAAGAAACCTACCCCAACGGCCTTCTTCATCCGCCTAGCCAATGGAGGGTCAGAGGAGGACCGAGTGCCATCAGTCGCATTCAGTCGTAGAAGCACAAAGTCTTTATCTATATCCCATTCTCCCTGGTTGCTGGGTGCCCCCTGGCGAAGGGCTCTGCGGCTATCTTCCTTCCTCTTCCTCGTAAGGGAGCGGGTAGTTTTTCGGTTCCGACTCAGAAGCAGCTGGTCCTGACGAGGCAGCGGATGCGGCGAGCTAGCTGGATCGAACGAGTCTATCTCAGCAGTTGCCGTTGTCTCTGAAGCCCATTTGCCAACTTCCTCGGGGGGGCCTCCGTCCGGGGGGGCCTCCCACGGGGGATCCTCTTGAATAACAGACGCAAAGGAGGCCGGACCACGCAAAGGCACCTCGTACAGTTCCAAGGATGTAGCCTCATTAGCCGCTTCCTCTTCAGGAGCGCTTTGTTCAAGCTGATCCCATGCGAGCTTGCCAGCAAATCCAGGAGGCGGCTCCTCTGTGAGTCCGCCTGTCCCATCTGGACTTGTCAGTGGGGCGTCCAAGGCGTCATGCTGTGATTCTCCGGTCTCCTGCTCGTGAGCATATGCAGAAACCAGGAAACCGCATAGAAGTATGCAAATCCTCCGCATTTGAGGCCTCCTGCTCCTGGGTGTCGGGCTTCTTTGTGGCCCGTCGGCGGAGCAACCTCCACGGGGGCGGGAACTTCCGTCGCGCCCTTCAGAAATCTTAGGCAAAGATAAAGTTCAGGCCGCCTACAGATGAGGGGCAGAGATTTTCGGGATACGTTTCGGACCTTGAGCACATGGGTGCAGGACTTCGAGTTCTGGAAATGCTGCGAACGGTACGCTCTCAGCCTTCAGGGGTGTTGCTGGCATCCAAAACATGTTAGAAGAAACAAGATAAATGCGAAGATTCGACGCATGCGCAAAAAGTGCATGCATCTAGGGAGGCGCCACCGCAAGGACGCTGCGGCTCGGCCTGCTCCACCAGCCCTTACCCAACTGCCTTCTCTTGCGTTCGCTATGCGGGTTTACGCTAAATGAAGCGAAGGAGCCCTCCAAATCCACACAAAGAGTTCAACATCATTTGGAATCTTACTGCCTGAGAAAGATTAACAATTAACTCTCTGGAGTCGGCGTCCGTTGCCTTGCTGCACCCTACCCTGTCAATGTTCGACAGGACGGTTCTGCCTAAATAGCGAGGATCAGGTGTAAAATTCTCCAAACCCTGAACCCTAATCCATAAACTCGAATCTCAAAATACTGAATAGGATACAACAATCCTCTTGAACAGCCGTGTATCACGGCTCACGCAGGACACCCTGCCCGTACGGTTTAGAACAGGCACGCATCCAGTAGGAACAGGTTTCAAATGCACCACGTGAAAACTGCAGAGGCAATTGGAGCACGGGACCCCTTTAATTGCTCTACGGCCATGGCGGCTGTGTTGGGTGTAGCAGGCAAAGCTGCACGTAGAGGTGCCCTTTACTGCACTAGTTGTATTTGGCAAGTAGTGTAGGGACGCCCATTTGGTATGGCTACTCGTACATCTTATTTGCTGCGAAACAATGCTAGCTTGATAGACTAGGATGCATTGATGCGTGTGTTTCGTTGTGCACGGGTGGGCTGGATGCGCACCCGTCGTATCAGCAACTGGATGCAGCATGCTCAAAGTGCTCACAGGGCCCAGCAACGCGCGCCCTAACTGTCAGTTTTTCTCACGGCTGAATCCTGAGGACTGAGGCCAGGGCAGTTGGAAAACCCTTTATGAGGGGCATAAATAGGCGCAGGACGAGGTGTTATCCTGTCGGAACCCTTTGTGAAGCGTCACCCCGCAGTTGTGGATAACCCTAATTGTAGCACAGCGGCAGCAACAGCTGGGCTTTTCCTTCTAGTTGTACATTAATAATCAGGGGTTGAATAACGCTTGACTCTATTGGCTTCTTTGCTCGTATACATCTCACTTGTTGCAGAGTAGAGTAGGCTCAATGCAGTGCACGAAAACGTTCTGCACCTGTAGGCTAAGCTGGTTTGTGCAGCTGGTTCCACTGCGCAGAGTGCATAAATAGAGGGTGCAGTAGTGTGCAAGTAAGCTGCCTCCCTCTATATACCCGAACATGAAGGAATAGGGGCAGTAAATGGGAGAAGTACTTTTAGAGAGACACTCAATAACCTTCTATGAAATTTACTATTGGGCTTGGGGCTACGTGCCTTCCTATGGAGCTTTTCAATAAAGCCTTTTATCCGATAACGCCCTTTTGGGACTGGGTATAGTGTACCTCCCAAAATGGCAGACACCATGAAGCCCTTGACCTTATTGGACCTCCCAAAGCAGCTCGTCATCACTATATCTGCTAAGCATGCACTTGAAGACGCAGGTTGCCACTTGGCAGCAAAGCGCGTGTAAAAACTTCTCAACGCCCTGCTTTGCCACTCTGAAACCTGCAGCCTGGCTGCTTCTCCATTTATCTTGCAACCTCCTGGCTCTTCCCGAGCACTCAAAATTCTTGGCCCTTAAACATCAAGCCCTTGAGCGTAAGAGAAAACTGTAGCAGATATGGACAGATGTTCTGCGGGGGAAAGTGTGCACCGCAGAGCCTCGTTACGTTCTCGACTCGATTAATTTGCTGCGGTTGGCGACCCGAGTCTCAGAAGCGCATTGGCTGGACCGTAAATAAAGGTCCCCCGTGAAAAAGCTTCGTCCAAAGTAGGGGTTAGGGTTTGTGATGGCACACCAGAAGCAAGCCCTATTCTTTGCAATGGGGACGCGAACAAGTTGGCTACGTGGAATAAGTCTTTCCTTCACTATGGGTAAGTGGTCGCTCAAGAAGACACCGAAGCCTCTTTAAGGGAAGTCCCGTGCTGTGAAGCGTCCTTGAAAGGCCCTAAAGGCCGTCCACCGGCCACATTAAGCGTCTCAGATATGCTATTAGCCACAATGAAGTAAAGGGTAGCAGACGCTGTGAAAATCATGTGTATCCATACTGCAAACGATACATGCTTGCCGCAGGTGCTGCAGTTGCTGCATCAGCTGTACCAGTCTTGCGCTACTGCAGTCGCTCTTACTCCAGCAGCAAGAGCAACAGCAGCAACTGTTGCGGCACTTGTACCGATGGCAGGAACCTTTAAAGTCTGATTGTTTTCACGAGGTAGAGGACGGCAAGGAGCGAAAGGACGGCAGAAAAGGCAATTACAGAGGATACAAGTACAAAAATGTTGTGGCTCTGCGCCCCCTCTTCATTTCCATTCTGCAAGTTCATCCCAAAGATACCTGAGCGCAAATCCTTGGCCTTGAATGAAAAACCCTAAGTCACTAGCCCTAGAATCAAAAGAGCATCATGGGTGCGCACCGAATCCAGAATGCGTTGACCACCTAGAGTGCTATCGAGTGACTTCCCGTAAGGAGTTCGCATGTGCGTATATACGTGTTTGTGTTCGCAAGCTACAAATCTGGGTATAAAGCTTGCAACTGCAGGTTACGCACCTGAGATGGAGGTGCCAACAGCGAGGCCGGCAGCAAGCAGAGTAGCTGCCAGCTCAGATTTTATCAGAGAGTTGCGCATAACCGCCAGCCGCAGCGTCAGAAGTCGCTCGCTGTCCTCTATGGACCCCTTCAGATGACGCACGCGGATTTTGAACTGCGGATCACAAACCACAAGCTCCACAGCCTAACCCACAAATCCTGAAATGTCGACAACAATTTAACCCGCATCGTCCCCCCCTCCATTTCAGGTCTTCATTTGGTCCTCATGGGCTCGATCTGCAAAAATGCATGTCTCAAACCCTGAACCAGTGTCGCCGAATCACGATTCGTAAGGACCAGTTGCCATATCGGATATCCTTGCCACATAAGGTATGATAGTTCGCTCAGTTAGCTTTGAAGCCCCCTGACAGCCAAGTACTCCGAAGTCACACCTGGTCAATTTCCTGGTCGAAATACTCCAGAAGAATCTCGAGATCCGGATTAACGGATTCCTAAAAACCGCAGCAGAAGGAGACCCCCCCAATACCATCATCCGTGCATGCGCATACTACGAGAGGCGGGCGTCCTGCAAATGCGGGACTGGCCGAAATGGCAGGTCGATGTGCTGGACTGAGGGCTTGTATAATGTGTGTTTATGCGAACGCGATGGCTAATACTTCAAGCCCACACATATGTACACCACCACATGTGCATGAAAGCACACAAAAAGCAGCTAAAAGTCTCTCAAGGCTAGAAAGCTCGGAGCCACGCGTTGGACTGGAGGCCGTATGGGGGCCGTATATCAAAGTCATCCTTTCACACGGTGACTGAAGGAGTGTGGCAGCAAAAGCATCCCAAGATGTACACGTCCAACTGTTTAGCGTTTGCGATAGTCTTGCCTTTTCAGTGGGCTCTTCGTAGAGATGGGGGTGCCGAGCATATTTGGAGAGTTCCATTCTCTGCAGGTATGTGTTGTTGCTTATAAGTTCGTCAAAGGCTTTGTCGAAGGCATCCACCCGGTCCTCAAGAAATACACATCACAAAGAAACTGCAAGACAACTCTCTACCTCCGCAAATCCTAAGCGCTCAACAATGCGAAATCGCGATGCACCACCAACAGCACCTGAAGCCACAGAGCCCACGGCCTCGGCCTTGTGCCTGCCCTGCATCACTGTCTTTTCCAGCACCTTGCAGCCTCTCTTTCTCTATGAGTACATGTGCAGCTCAAAGCTATCACTGTGCTGCAGGCTCGCCCTTCCCTTTACTTCTGTCTCCGAAGTGTCTGTCAAATAAGTCGCGAACATCGTCTCATGGGCTGCCTTTGGCGCCCTCAAGAGGCCTCCTTCTAAAAGCATTCGTTCGCTCTCATCCGTGAAGAAAGGGCTTCCAAAAGTATGTGCATGATCCGTGATAAATACCTGATAGAGAGAGATAGGCTCCTTGAGAGCGTGCAGATCCTCCATTAAAAGAGACAGAAGTTCCCCCTTGGTCCGCGTCCTATGCTGCGCCTCGCTGAACTTGCTCTCGAGATAAAGAATATCTGCAGTTTGTCCCCAGATACAACACACACCAAAAGGCGAGCAAAAACTCTCCACATGCAGTTTGTCCTCCGCGGAAAAAGGGCAGCGCTGCCTGGCAGGTAGGTGGCGGCAGGCAGGCGTACAGGCAATCAATCGGAGAAAAGTAGATGATGCTACGGAACAAACATATGTGTGCCACAAAGGCGACGAGACTAATGAGGCCAGGCGGCAATACTGCCAAATGTAGGGGGAAGCAAGGCGAGAAAAACTTGGAATAAGCAAAAAGGTGAAGCACGCAGGGCGAGGAAACAGGAAGGAGAGAGAGAGCGAAAAAAAACGACGACACGGATGTGCGATGCTGACCGGCATTTAGCTGCTGGAAAGCAGCGAAGAAGATGCATTCAAGAGCAGCGAACTCGAAAGGCAACTTGTGACTCTGGCCGCTGTTGCTGCCCACAGAGCAACACGACCGCGCAATTAAAGGCTGTGCACCTTCGCCCTTGCCCTCCCAGTCTCCCCCAGGCAGGGGGCCCCTACCATCGCCCGAGGTGTCCCCTCCACTTTGTCGATGACCACCGGATGTGCCTCCTGGGGGCCCTCTTAAAGGCGGTGGAGGCACTTTAGGGGGCTGTTGAGGGTGCGCTGATGATATCCCTTCAAAGGCACCTTCAGGAGTTTGCGTTGCCTGCGCCTGCACGGGCTGTGGATTTTTCGACTCTTCAGGCACACTGTTTGTGTTGGCTTGAAGACGAGGTGCTGCTCCTTCGAAGCCAGTAACGGCGGCAGAGACAGCGTATTGAGCGATGCTATTCCACGAGTCCATGTGCTGTTGTTGGTGCTGTTGTATCTGCGGTGGAGGTTGCTGGTGCTGTGGTTGGTGCTGTATCTGGAGCGGTTGTTGTTTAAGGGGTAGATGCTCGAAGAAGTCCGTGGGAGTTGCAGCCTCTGTGGCATGTGCTTTTGCTGCAGCAGCAGCAGCAGCTTGGTGCTGCTGCAAGGCGTAGTAACGGCTCAGCCTGCAAAGCTGGTATATGAGCTCATCAGCCCTAAGGTCCTCTGTCACGAGGAGGTAGACGGTGTCCTTCAAGACAAAGCATGTGATGGGGGGCAGGCACACAAGAATGACGTGCCTTCTGATTTCGATTGAAGGAATAGGGTGGACATCGGTAAAGGCTTGGCGGCAATCCCGATAAGTTAAGATGCACGAGCGCGAACGCGTTGCGTCGATGCACTCTGCCTGCAGTAGGCGTAGCACTTCGGCCACCTGAGGCAGCAGCAAAGCGCAGCAGGGCGATGGAAAGAGCAGACAATAGACAGCCGAGATCCCTAGGGACTCAAGTGCATGCACACAATGAGTGCATGGCCGCAACAATAGGGCGGCAGCGGGGAAAAAGATCTGAAAGAGCAGTCAGGCAACAATCGGCAGGTACACGAAAGAAGCCACAAAAAAGTTTACGAAGAAAAAGCGGCGCACATCGAAAGACAGGCCAAAGGGAAAAAACGAAGTACAGCAGCGGCTGATCGCGGGCTCCTAAGTGGAGATCTGTGGAACATTCACTGGAAGTCGAGAGACAGTTGGTAAAACCCACAAATGGATGCGCAGACGGAGACACAGATGGCTGTGAAAGCGAAGGATCACACCAAAGAGATTGATAAGAGGGGAAGCAGAAGGAGAACGAGAGAGAGAGAGAGAGAGAGAGAGAGAGAGAGAGAGAGAGAGAGAGAGAGAGACAGAGACAGACAGACAGAGAGAGAGAGAGAGACAGAGCAACAGAGAGAGAGAGACAGAGACAGACAGACAGACAGACAGAGAGATAGAGCAAGAGAGAGAGAGAAAGCGACGCCAGAAAGGGAGAGAAGCATCTCAGAAGCACTCCAGAAAAAGAAGGCAAGGGTAAGGAAGGCACGTGTGCATTTATGCGCGCCGAACAGACCAGGCAACCGACTAAGCGGCGCCCCTGCAAGTGGCCTATGCCAATACATGAGGAGGCAGGAAGGCAGCGAAAAACCGACGCGTTAGAACACATGTAGAGAGCGGCGGCTGTGGCCAGTGCTGCCCCTGCCTACCTGCAGCTCGAGTATCTGATGGATGCCTTTGTGAATGCGGATCACTACGTGGCGCCTGAGTCGAGCTCTCTGCCCGAAGGGGCCCTTCTCTCCGAGGGCCCAACTGTCACATTCGTCCTCCGGGGGGTGGGGGCCCCCCGGGGCCCCGCCCCCCGGAGGGGCCCCCGCTGTGGAAATGTAGCGACTCGGTCGATGTCCAAATGCCACATTTGCGCTCGCTGCGCTAGAGCTCGAGCGAGGAGCTGCCCCAGATGGGCCCCCTTCCTGAGGTGCTCCTCCAGCCCCCCCATGGCGCCCGCCGTCGAGGGAAGGTTGCGAAATTCCTTCGGAGGAACACAGCGAATCCAAGCGCACGAACGAGAGGCGGCCGGCTCCTTGCTGCTGCGGCTGCTGTTGTTGTGTTTGTTGCTGCTGCTGCTGCTGTTGCTGTTGCAGAACGATCGCATACTGAAGCCTCTCTGATGCGTCGGCCGTCTGCGCTGCAGCAGCACCCGGCGCTGCTTGCTCATGGCCAGCCGAGACACGGTACACTTCTAGGTTGCTTACACCCTCGCCTGCGACTCCAGGGGTTCCTGAGCCTCCCGCTATTCCTCGCTTCAAGAGCATTTCCTTGTCCTCTTGCAGCAGGCCTAAAGGGTCTGACTCAGGCCCTTTCCCGCCTCTTGGCAGACCGCCTTCCGCTGCATCTGTACACTCCTCAATCATGTGATTGACAGTCTCTGCGTAATATCCACCGTCCCGTTCAATGCCAATGTGGCCACCCCCGAGGGGCCCCGGGGGCCTCTGGTTGCCTCCCCCCCCCCTCCATCGCAGAGTACCCGGATCTCCAGCAGGGCCCCATGGAGAGGCCCCCGGAAGGGCCCACTGCTCGTTGTGAGAAGGCACTCCTTGAGCTCCCCGATTAAACGCGGATGCCAAGTGCCACGCACCTGCTGAGGCTGGCCCCTGGGTGGGCCCCCCACCCCCTAGAGAATCTCCGTACGAGTCGCTGCTCGGGGGGCCCCTGCAGCGGAGACACACAGAGAAGAAGCGCAACAGATGCAAGACGACCAACTCTAATGGAAAGCTCAGCCCTAGACTGCTTCCGGGCAGTAGCAGAAGCAGAAGCGGCAGCAGTAGTCGTAGTCGTAGCAGTAGTAGGATACCAGTAGTAGCGTCACTATCAGCATTGCCATCACCCCGGAGAAGGAACTCTACTACCACACACAAAGACCAGCAGCACACATGCAGGGCTTACTGAACCGGGCGCCTATCACTGCCTTGTGCCGGCATTCTCTTTTTCCATGCGCGTTTTCAAGCCCCAATATGGCTGATGCAGCAGCAGCAGGACTGAGGGGGCTGTTGCAGATCTGTGAGCAACAGCAGCTGCAGCTGCGCCGGTGATAAATGCTCCTTAGGTGGCTCGCAGCATGCAGCCCACCTCCTGAAGAAGCTGGGGCCCCAGAAGTCTCTACTCTATTTATGCGTCGAGCCTTGCTGCTGCCAATGTTTCCCACCTCCGGCCAGCGGTCCATTGCAGCAGCAAGAGCCTCGGGGGGGCCCTGCATGCAGCTGCTGCTGTGCCTATACGGATACGCTTTGCGGCTTCCAAATGGGCATCTAAAGGAAACGGGAAGACGTGGGACAGTAAACCAGCCGGAGGAACAAGCATCCTTCCCCACTTCTGTACGTGGAACTACGCTGCAGCTGCCGTTCTTGCAAAAGTAGGGCTGGCAGCAGTGGCAGTGCAGCCAGCCGTGGCGGAGGGAAGCCCAGGAGACAGCCTACATCTGAGATCCTGCACTTGCTATTGCAGGGGGCATAGGCACTCCGCAAGCAGGATCTTCTTCGACTAAGGAAGAAGCTAAGGGGAGTTGGGCAGCGCGTCAAGCAGGATCGGCAGGAATAATAAGCAGCACCTGTTGCTTCTCCGGATGGTGAGGCGCACAAACACTCATAGAAACCACCACCGCAAAAGAGAGATTGCGCAAAATAGAGTTTTGATCTGGTGCTTCCTCATGTTGTTTATGTCGGGGTTCCCGCTGATGTTGCTTGGACTACTGCTATCGGTGCCGATTGGCCTCAAAAAATCTTGGGGCTGGAGCTGCTGCTCGTTGACCCCTGAGGAGTAGTGTTAACACGCGTTTTACTCCCTCCTGGATCTATCATCCTTTCAATAGCTATTTTCTAGGACGGAAAATACGCGCGAACAGGGGGCAACAGCAGCAGCATTCCTCTAACTCCCTCCTGCCTTCCCATGCTGTCGCACGCGTCCGAGGGCCCCTGCCCGAGCAGCATCCTCCACACCGGCACCAGGAACAGAAGCGACGGCAGCGGCTTTGGGTGGAATCCTTTCACTACTTTTTGTGGCGTTACATTCTCTTCATACCCTCAAGACTGCAGTCAACCGAGTAGCGGCGACGGCTCGAGCAGCAAAAGCTGCAGCAGTGGGAGGGACAGGACAGGAGAGGCCCCTGCAAGCTAGCGGTTTGTCTTCTGCTGTGAAGTCGCATCTCAGTCTTCCTTCTGTTAGCTTCTAAGATTTATCTGGAATAATTGAATTTAGTGCCGCTGCAACTGCTCTCTGCAGCGCTAACAGCAACTCCTACGCAGAAGACACCCACACCGCAACGCGCACACCGCCGAGCCGGCCTCACGAGCATCAGCAACCGTAGCAGCAGCAGCAACAACAGGCAATGCTTTTGCATCTGTTTGTCTGGCCCTCACCTTCTTCCTATGGCCGCGTGTAGCATCAACAGATAGGAGCAGCTCGGCTCTGCTGGTTAAGCCATGGAGCAGCGGATTGAGAACCTCCCGGAGATGCCAGACGCGTCCGAGCAGCACCAGGAGATACTGCACGATCAGCCGCTAGAACACGAGCGGCAAGAATCGCAGCAGGAAGCGCAGCAGCAGCAGCAGGAAGCGCAGCAGCAGGAGGAGGAAGCGCAGGAAGGAGTGCAGCAAGAGGAATCTCAAGAGCAGAGTATACCCCTCTTGCCCGCAGTAGAGCAACAGCCACCCCGGCAACAAGAATGCTGGTGTGCTCAGATACTGTCAGAGCTGCTGCAGAGCAAGGAAGCTTCGACATCTCCCGACTGGCTCCTTGCTGCTGTCCGATCACTGCCCCCCTGTGCTGCACACTCCCCCTCAGGGGAGGTAGTTGAAGGGGCTGTAGCGGCAGTATCCGCAGCCACAGCCGCTGTGGCTTCAAGAAGACCGCCTGGGTGTCCTGCGCAGATGGATTTACCTCCAACAGCAGCTCTACCACAGCAGCTACCACACAATCTCCTCCAGCAGCAACCCGAGATGTCGTCCTCGGCAGCTCAGGATCTCCTAGGCTTGCTCCATGGCTTGCTCCTGGCGATGCGGCAGCAGCGTGCTGCCTTTGGGAGCCAGCTGACGCAAGCGCGCATGCTGCTTCGGCATCTGCTGCTGCTGCTGCCAGGGGACTTCAAGGAGGAGGCCAACAGGCTTCTTGTTAGCGCCGCTGATAGGCAACAACGCCGAGGTGCTGCTGCTGCTTCTCCTCCTCCTGATGCTCGAGCAAGCTCGGCAATACCAGATTCACCGCTTGAGACTGCCGCAGCAGAGTCTACAGTCGGAGGAGCAACGGCAATTGCATCTGTGGAAAGGGTGCCGTTCTCGGAGCAGAACAACCATAGAGAGGCCAGAGTGTTGCCTGTGCAGCTGCCAGCAGCTGCTGATGAGCTGTTCGTCCGTTCGCGAACTGAAGATCGCCCCCTTACCCTTAAAGACCTGACTTCTGAAGACGACACTGCTCCACAGTTGGAGTCTTTGGCTGCCACCATCAGCGCTGCAGCGAAGCAGCAACAACGGCAGCACCAGCAGCAAAAAGAGATTCCTTCCATGGTAATGCCACAGGGCAAGCAGAATGAGCGGCAGCCGCAGCAATCCTTGCTGCTGGGCAGCTCCCAAAGTACAGCCGCTTTATCGGCAAGTCCAGACCTGGGGCCACACGACAGCTGCTACTATCAGCAGCCGCAACGACAGCAGCAGCAGCAAGACCAGGAGCAGCTGCTGGAGGGGGGGCAATTTCTCCAGAACCAGAGGGAAGGGGGCAGAGGCAATGCTCGCCCTGCAGTCTCTGCAGGGTTGCCGGCAACACCGGCTCTCGCCGTAGAGCCCGCCGATTACACCGCAGCCGAGCAGCTGAAGGAGGCAGCAGAATCGGTGCTTTCGCTGCCTCCCCAGCCCTCGCAGCAGCTACAGGAGCGGCTGCAGTCGTGCCCCTCTCTATCTGAATTGAAGGAACGCATTGCTGCCCTACGAGCAGCTCTCGAGACTTCACAACTCCAACAGCCAGAATCGCAGCCAAGCCAGCAGCGGGAGGCGAAGACACAGGTGCTGCAGGACCGCTACTCCACCACTGCGCTGCTTCAGCGGCTGCAATTTTTGATGGCTAAGGAGGCCTTGCTTCCAGACCAGCAGCACCCTCTGCAGGAAAGTGGGCCTCCGCCACCCTCAAATTCAGATTCGCAGCAACAGCAGCAACAGCAGCAACAGCAGCAGGAACAGCAGCAGGAACAGCAGGAACAGCAGCAGCAGAGGTGGCACCACAATCGCCGCCGCCAGCAGCGGCAGCGGCAGCAGCAGCATCAAACGAGGTTTCTTACAGATTTGCAGAGGGACTCGGTGTACGATACAGCTCATACCGCGGAGGTGACCCCCAGTTACCCCAGTGCTTCGCAGCCCTTTCTTCGCCAAGGACCTCTAGATGAGAGGCCCCCAGCGGGTATTCTTTCTCCCTTGGCTGGGGGGCACATTCCTGGACCCCCGCCACCGCTAAGAGACTACTTTGGGGAGACTTTTCGAACTCCGCAATGGCAGCCACAATCGCACCAGGACGCCACACATAGCGACGCCTGCTCGTTTCGACAGCAAAAGAGGGCAGAACGAGTGCCTTCTTTCTGCTCAGGAGACACTCCAGTGGGCCATAGCTCCAGCGACAATTTGCATCCCGTGGTTCGGCGGAGCGGCTCTTACCGGCCACCAGCAGCAACAGTGGCAACAGCAGCAGCAGAGACACGCTGGTCCGCAGAGCGAAGGGCGAAGCAGCATGCGCCCCCACAGCCAACAATCCCCTTTTGGGAACGCCTCAGTCGACCCAAACAAATAAATCGAGAACGGCAGTCTTCTCAGAAGCAGCAGCAACTGCAAGTACAAATAGGCCAGGGATCAGGGCAGCAAAAACAGGATCATTCGCAGCGAGAACAGCCAAAAAGGGCTGTCTCCTGTTCCGTAAGCCCCAAGAGACAAGAGAGATCCCCGTATCTCCGTTTCGTTTCTCTGCTGTAGGGCAGGTCTGTCCTCCACTCGATTCGTTCTCGATGATCTCCGTGTTACTTTGTGTGCATGTCCCACGCTACCGTGCACGCTCCTTTCGTTTCTGCGTTTTCTACTTGTGCGCAGAGTCAGCCACTTCAGCATCAGCAGCTGACACAAGTGCCGCAGCTTTCGCTGCAAGAACAGCAGAGGCAGCAGCAGCAAAATGATGTGCTGTCTATGCGCCTGCGGTTGGAGCTACCGGGGGACCCCGCCTGCCTATTACTCCGCAGTGTGCCTGAGGGCGAAGAGGTTGCATCCGCGAGCAGGAAGCGAGGAGAGACTACAGAGACGGAAGACTGGAAAGAGAGGCTTGTGCTGCGATACCCGGCTGCAGATAAGCTTACAGTGAGATGCCTGCCTTATGTGCTTTGCAAAAATGTCTGTCACCTCGCTCTGCCTTGGAACTCTTTCGGGGCCACCCTTTCAACTTTTGTCTCTGCATTTCACTTTTTGTAGGTATCTCTTCAGTCCATTTGCGGCTAAATGCGTGTCTGTTTACTCTATCTCTGTCTCCTGAGCTATCTTTCCTCTTGCCCTTTGTCTCTCCGCGGGCGTATGGTTCCGGAGTGAAAGACTATTGCCTCACAAACGTCTTTCCTCTGTAAGCCATTACCTTATAAAGCTGCGCTTCTTGCATTGTCGCAGGTTGCGGTTTCTGATGGAGTGCAGGAGGTGGCGAGGCTGCGCCTGCGAATCTATGAAGAGTCAAGCTAGGGCTTTAGGCTTTCGCTATTTTGTGGTGCGGCGGTTCTTTTTGTCTGTCACCGATCAAGCACTTTGCAGTGTTTTGATTGTATCCTGAATACGAGTGACATTTTTGCAGAAGTTTGCCTATTGCAGCCTGTTCTTTCCACCTGCCTTCTTTTCCGCCTCCCCTGTTGTATCCCGTTCTCTTTACTTATAGAGTTACACGGCTGTCTGTCTACACATCTGTTTTCATGGTCACATAGCTACAGGAATGTGGAGCCAGCCCTGGCAAAATAGTGCGTATGCCGTCAAGGAAGTTTCGTGTCCAGTCACTTCGCACTACTTACTTGCTGTCCGTGTATTTGCTCGTGTATGAAATTGGTACATGAGCAATACTTTGAAAGAGGGCCTTACAGCAAGAAGCTGTGGTAGCAATTATGAGGCTCTGGTTGCCCTTTCTGGACTGAGGGCTGCTTCCTTAGGGCTAGGGGTGAGGGTTATAGACGGCCTTGTGGAGGCTTTCCGGTTATTTTTAGTATAGCAATATATACGAATTGTGCGTCTCCCGGCAGTTCGGAACAGCAGAACTTGCCGATACAGACCCTTGGTGTCTGGCTTTTGCCGGAACTTGAAACCAAAAACTGATGCCCATAGAAGGGTAGGAAACTACATTAACACAGAAATGCTGGCCATGCGCCCATGCAGCGCCGACTGCAAAAATATTAGGGCGATCATCATGGTGTACTTACTCGCCAGACGTTGCATATCCATCATATGAAAAGTTGCTGCGCAAGCTACAGTGCCCTGGCCCACGCAGCTACAGCTGCATACTGACGAGTTAGCACTGGGATGTGAAGCAGGTTTCTGCAACACATGTGCCCTAGAGCATTCTAGACCCACAAAACAAGGACTCCCATTTGCTCGTTCCTCTTAGTCAGCCGCTTGTTTGAGCTGTCCTCTACTTTTAAAACTACAATCCGAGAAATGCCGCCGTGATAAATCTGAAGAGTGAATCGAGAGGCTGCTGAAGGGTTTGAAAGTCGGAAGACGGCCAATCTTTGTTCACACTACCGGAGGGGCGAAGGGAGGGACACCGTGGTCAGGAAGTAGGAAGGCGAGTATCTAGGATCTTTCCACAGAAACTAAAAATGTGGCAGCATTATTCACCCCCTTTTTTTGTTAACTATAAAGGGAACTAAGATTATATTATGCTAGTCAGCTCATGGCGTCTACGTAGGTTGAGCTCGTGGCTGCTGGGCTTAGTCTCTATGCCTGATGCTTCAGCTACCACACTCTTGTCAAATTGAAACATTCTTTCGCGGCCCCTATATGTCCACTTTATTTGATTCAGGAAGTGTGTTCGGTTCCATAATATAGTTTTTTGTTGCTCTTGTCTCGCAAAGGCACGCGGATGATTGTAGCCCCTGCATGCTGCGCTGCTCAGTTATTCACGGAAAATCTCGATGGCTGCGAAGAACAAGAAGGACGATGGGCATAATTATGAGCTCGAAAATGCAATACTCAGGAGGCGCATCCAAACTCTGGAGAAGCTCATTGGTAAAGAAACAAAGTGTTGTAGTCTTTAAATATAAGGGTTGGGCTTTGCAGGCCCCGACGCAGACCCTAAAAGCCTCCTCGTGCCATTGCAGACCCTGTGTACAGACGAGCAAAGATCTACTGCCTGCAGTGACTGGTGCACATTGCTTCCCTGACAGGACTTGAGGGCGAAATTCCTTTTCAGCAGTCAAGTCCTTACCTTCACACTTGCACTTGGAGTTTGCAGCATGGAATCATGCTTTATTAAGGCCTTCAGACCTTAGGGTTTAAGCGTCAGTTTCAACGGGAGCAGATATCCGTCGTAGTCTAGGTGGTTAGGATACGCGGCTCTCACCCGCGCGACCCGGGTTCGAGTCCCGGCGGCGGAAGGCTTTGGGCGCATGGGTTGTGGCTGTTTATTTTTTGATGTGTAGACTCAGTTAAAGTAAATCTTATTAAGATACTACCTCTGTTCAGATGGTCTCTTGAGAATTTTTTTCTAGTGCATGTACTAACTAGACACGCATAGAAGTGCCGATGTATGTGTATGTGGAGACTTGTAGATGCATTTGTGCCAGTGGATATATGCACATAGAACTCTGTCTACACAAGCGTACAGATGTTGGCATGTGTATAGTGGTTTGCACGCGTCTTTATGCGCAAGTTTTTCCGCTGTTAAAATTGCATACGGGGCCTCGTATCGCGCTTTCAGCACCTGTTCTAGGTGGACATGAGTAGATTTCGAGGGAAAGGTACTACTAGTCAAATAACTGGCAGGACGACACAGATCTCTATTAAGGGTCATCTGTGTCTTGATATGCAGTGCATCCTGCTTTTGAGAAGCGTTGAGCGGTGTCGATATAGAAAACTCTTACTTGTGACACAACGGGTACTACTACTTACAAGCGTGCAGCGCGTACGCAGATGTATTTTTAGTCCCCAACACTCCAGGGCCGAGAAAATGAAGATTAGGTTTTCTGATTTCGGCTTAGTCAAAGCAGCTATCTGCACATCTCTACCGGACTCCACATTGACCTTCAATTTTCATGTACCCGCTTGGCAGCTTATTTAAGGAGTGTGTGCCATGCAAGCACACGGCTGTTACTATCTCCCTGGTGGCCCATTCGAGCTGTCCGCTGTACTCTACTGAGCGCTGCAACGAAAGGCCAAGCATGCGCTTGCTTTTCCTCTCTTTGCATACACATGCGCCAACCGTTTATCCACCAAGCACTACCCTGCATTGCGCGCCGGCCACTGCCCATTCTCCTTCCACTACTAGTGCTACCACGTCTGTTGCACTACTCCAGAAACATTATATGTCGCTGCAGTATGCGTATTCGTCCCCAGAGTCACAACAGTGCATTTGTAGGGCCTTTTTGTTTCAGCTGGTGATGCTGCCTGCAGCGCTTCAGGAGGAGCAGACGCAAAAGAGCGAGCGGTCCGCAGAGTCATTACGTGAGAAGATAGAAGCCCTCAACGCGGTTTTTGTGGAGCAAGATAGACAAATGTTTTCTGATGTTTCAACACTCAGCTTCCGCAACGCCGAGGCTAAAGCACACCACCGGCAGCTCATTCAGGGGCTGCAGAGTCAGCTGCAAGCAGCGGAGGGAGACGTTGGTACGCAAACTGAGCAGCATGTCCAAAGTGCAAAATAGGCTTATTCTACTTCGACTAGCTCACTATGCTGGGACAAATGCAACTGAAGACTACGACAGCAGCTAGCCACTCTTTCTGGAAAACGTGCCAGGGCACCTTTTAGCTGTGCATGTCTACCCAGACGCTGTGCAGTTCCTACTAGGGTGTTTTCTAGGGTGCTTTGGTCTACTGGCCGTTGAGGCCTGTTACATTTCAAGTGTAGCGAGTGCGCGCAGCTGTGGCTGAGACGGACTTGGCAACAACACGCGCTGCCAAGGAGCACGAACTCCAGCAGTCCAAGGAGGCATTGCATCACCTGCAGAAAGATGTTGAGAAAATGACTTTTGAGTTTGCCGAGATTCTCACGGTACATTTCTATCCCTAAAAGCATAAACTGTAGTGCCTGAAAATAATCCCTAATGCTAAATTATCTGCACTGTCTTTAAACTTCGTTTTGTTTTCATGTAGCACTAACGTGCTTCCGGAGGCTTCCAGCCAGATGCCTTACCTTGTGGCTTCGCGCATCACTGGTTCATTGTGTCTTGTGTTGGGTATGTGAGCAGGATACGGCGGAGAAGGTAATGGAGAGAGTTTCAATGTCTCATGGCAGCTGGGCGGCTGAACAGAAACGACGGTCACTGGACGGCCGGTTACAAGATGAGTCCGCTGCGTTTTTTGAGGCCCCCCCAGTCGATCCACCTCTAGATGTTGTGGAGCCGTAATAAAAGAAGAATGTGTGCGGCAATGGGCACTTCGGGGTGGAGCATATCACATCGGAATCACCTTCGTCCGCCCGAGCAAATCCATGCTCCAGATTACAGCCTACCTGTGTCTCGCCGCACCGTTTGACCTCGTCGACCCTCCACAGACGCTTATATTCTATCACAACCTCTATGTCCCAACAGTCGTTACACCTGCAAGTCTGTGCAATTGCGTGTGTCTATATAATATATATTATATGTATGTTAGCAGCTTGGGCGTAGGGCGGTGTCCAACCCCTTAGTTCCGATCCTGCTCAATTAAAGCATTAGCCAATCCCTTTGTTGGTTGCTGTTTCGGATCAGGGAGTTCAAGCTGAGTTTTAACAGTTTTGGGCTGCGGGCATAAAACACATTAAATGACGAGTTGTGTGCTCGCAAATTTGTCTTCATTTGCCTTCATCGCTAGTTAAAGTGACTTTTGGTAAGAATGTATGTAATTAAAGGAGGCAGGACTGGAAACAAGGGATTATCTTAAAGTAGATCCAACACCTGCATTTTTCAAAATATTCTAGCGCCAAATTCCACGCCCTCCACAGCATATGAAGTGTCTAGTCCCAAATTGCATGGAAACCACGCAGGGAACGACATGCTTGTTAGTAGGCTATGATTCGGATTTGGCGTAGAGTCGAGCAAACCATATGCAGCATTTTCTATGATGCCTTGTTACAAGCAATAACCCCCCACATATATTCTGTAGCCCCTACATTCTTACTCTTGCGTCCAATATCACATCACCAGAAAATTCGAAACGCTGCTGTTCTTATTTGTTGCAAACATGGCGGGAAGGTGAATTTTTAAGCAGCATGTAAATTCTCGAACGCTGAATCTATGCGGCCTGGCTCTGCTTGGGATGAAAACACCTATCTATAGAACGGACGGGAGGCTTGGACTGGGGCTAAAGGGCTAGGAGCAGCGGTGCGCGATGTCTTAGTTTCCTTGTTCCTTCTTGATTATGAGTGTTGCACTTCGTACTTGAAATGATAATCTTCCTATGCTCTTAATCCGGAGACACTCAGTAGCAAGAGTGTACTGAACAGGATTTATAGCGCGCTCCTCCCCAGGTATCCAGCCTCTCAATTCCCCCACCCCTTAGAGCTACAGGCCGCTGGAGGAAATGACATCAGGCGTGTAAGGTACAATAATCTGTCACATTTCGCATACTGTTGCACACTGCAACCTACCACACAAGCAGTATTTTGCCGTGTCGTGCATCTGCCTCCGCTCTGCAGCTAATGAAAGAAAGGAACAACCAGGCTATTGAGCTCAATTTTTAGAAAGAGAGTGACTGAACAGTTATATAGTCAAGTACAGTTTGCCCAATACATCTGAAATGTATGCCAGGTCACTTGCACTGCAGTAGTCAACAGCTCTCTGATGCACCATATCCCTTGACTCATGAAATGTTTAAGTTCCTCAAGAGGCGTGTCTGCTCTGTAAAATTTAAGAACGATTGTCTGGCGATCTAAAACTAGGTGTTCGACAGCACTGTGGCTGGTCGGGCCCGAAGTACGGCAGAAAAGTAGGGGAAGTTTTGGTCTTTTCTATTCCCTTTTACGTATTTCTCTCGAAATTAATATATTTCACTTGAAAATCTGCTGAAGAGGGTCGTCGGGCAACAAGCCACCGGATCTTCAAGAGGTATGCAGCCTCAGCAGCCGGCGGCCGGAGTGGTCCGGTGCTGCCGGCCTGCCTTTGGTAGATTTAGCTTTGCGAGAATGTCTACTTATGGGTCAGTAGGTAGTGTATATTCATTTGTCGTTTTAAATCCCAGCAACAACGTCAGCCACTGCAGCGTCAATATCCTCAATATACCGCTACAATGGCAACAGTAGCAGCAGCAAACCCTGGGTCGGTGGAAGGGTCTCCGTCAGCCGGGGCCTCGGCCACTGGTCGCGAGGGATACCCTGGATCATCTGGAGCCGGTGAGGGCCCTCAGATGCAGCAGCAGGTTCCTCTTATGGTGCAGCAACAGCTGGCTGCACAAGGCATCACCCATGGCTACCCCGGAATGCTGGAGGCGGGGGGTCCAGTGGACGCCACGCAGGCCCAGATTGCCGCCTTCGCCAATCAAACCGCTATGTATGGTCCCTACGGATCTCCTTACGCGCTCAACATGCCTCCCCCGCCCACCGGAGGACCGTATTATCCGGTAGGATACTTGTAGGGCTGAATCATTTGTGTACCACTTGCCCCCTTTCCTGCTGAGTCGGGGATTTCAAGGGTTTTGAGTGTATTGGCTGGCCCCTCACCACATCAAGGGTCTGCGTGCTGATGCAGTAGGGGTATGCTCACACGGTCTGGTGGGCCCTCGGCGAATGAGGGATAGGAAGTTACCATGGCCCTTCGGTTTTGAGCCAGTGCGTTCCGTTGCTGTGTACTGCGGGCTTCAGGGTATGATGAACCAGTTTGCACTGCCCTCTGTGGAGAGCTTCTCCTTGCCAGGTCCCGCATACTACGACCCCTATGGGATGATAAACCCGGCAGCATGTGTAGCCGCAGTACCGACACCAGAAAACAAGGATGTAGAACAGCCTAAGCATATCCGCAGAAAGGGCAATAAAAAGTGGTTTGGTTGCTGCTAAACTTCAAAGCCCACCCACGAATTTTGGGGCTGCCGGCACATGTCTCAACCCCGTCGTAGTATTTGTCCAGAGCAAGGATTGCAGCAAAATCCTGCCAATACCAAAGCCCTAGGCTGCTTCTTATGGAAGTCCAATAGTGTGCATTCTTAAGGATTTGGGACAGCTCTGCACCCTATGGCTCAGGCTGAGCCTCCCATCAAAGGACCGCAGATTCCCCATGGTTTGGAGCCTCTTCATGTGGAGGCTTCCTTCTTCGACTGTGGGGCCTGCTGTAGAGCAGGAAAACTGTGGCTACCTTGTCAGCGCCGGCTGCGGCTAGCTTGCAGTGGCCGTTATCGGAGTATGGGAGGCATGCAGAGCGTGGCGGGCCTCAAAAAATGCCGCGATTATTGCATGGAGCTGTACGCAGCAGACACCATTATGTTTTTTGGATTGGCCACTTGCTTGGTTCCGGAGTTGGGTCGGGGAAGCAAGAATTTTAATCAAAGTTTAGGGAGTGTACTTACCTGAACGAACTCCCCCGAGCCAAGAGCGAGCCGCTCCCTGCGCAGACACCGTAGAATAGGCCCTCCCCTCTGCAGCTGTGAGAGATACAGGGTTTTATGGGTTCGACGAGATTCGGGGTTTATGCCAAGGGTCATAGGTCTAAGCTTGCAGAATCCCTAGTTCTCACTCTATGTCTGCGAGGCGCGTTACAAGGGTTATGGCCACGGGGACTGGCAGCTTCATGGCCCTCAACTCGTTGTGCAGGGCTGCAAGCAAAGCAAAGCTTGAACCCCCAGGCTGAGCTTATTCTCAAGTAGCTGCAGAGGAAGCCGCGATGCCTCGCGTCTGGTTAAGCCTTGATAGACAGGTGTGAGACACGGAGCGGTGAAGTGTACGAAGGCCCACGAGGAAGGCAAGGGAGACTCCAGCATCGTCCCAAGTGGTGAAGAAGGGCCGTCTTAGCTCTTTAGAAAGCCAAGGGATGCTGCCTTGCAATGTCTCGCCCTACCTTCTGTCCAATCTCGAATTGAGTAACCCCGACGGGTGACCAATCCGTGGAACTCTGCAAAACACACGCCCAGGCGCAAAGACCATGGGGTCACTTAAAGGGCAGAATGATGACCCTCCTACGCCTACGGTACTCCAGCCTTCAAACGCTTTGAAGCCACCGAGGGCGTTCGCGTTGTAGGGTGTAGCGCCACGAGGGGGCTACGTCAGTGGCTGCTGCGGAATTGGAACACACCAGCGGAGCAAGTCTTCAAGTCTCTCTCCAGCAGGATTTGCATAAGGGCCTTAACTTCACTGGGCTGTGGCAGTCCCAGCACGCGATGAATCAACTCCCCATCCAGAGGTTCCCCAGGATGCGCCATGCTTGCTGCCTGCAACGAATTCCGTCCGCAAAACTCTCGAATCGTCAACCTCGGGTCGTCGCGCTATACACAAGCACGGATTCTGGAAGAGCGAGGCCCTCCACCCGACACACCAGAACTCACCTGCATGCAATTCAGGAGCCGACGCATGTCTCCACTCGCTGCAGCGAAAAGCAAACATTCCAAGCCATCAGCGCCAAGCCCTGCAAAGCAAGCCGTGGCAGGCTTCCCCTCGTCCATCCAGCAGAGACCTCCTGCTCACCGATTTGTATGAGAGCCTCATATCCGTCTTCGGTCACCGTCATGCTGCGAACATGCAAATTATATGCAAAACCGACTCCTAGACCCCAAGACGCGCTCGGGGAATACTGCCATCGGCGATCCAGGAATTAGGTTTAGTGAGACGTACTTCTCCAGCTTAGCAGCTTCTTCTGCCTTTCGCCTTAGCTAAAACACAACCCAAACACTGCGAGCTCAACCATTAAGACTCCACCTCAGATCTCATGACCTTCACTGTGCAGCCTGAACGCTATGCTGTAAACCCTACCACACCCTAGCCTCACCGCCTCTGGCTTCAGGGGTGTGAATCGCATGCTGCGGACAAGAGGTGCACACAGCACATGCTCAACAATAGGATCAGCTAGGATGCATGGCGGCAGCGGCGGCCGTAAAGAGAATCAAAGCAAGGGCAGCAGCCACTGAAGCAGCAACGTTTGCTGAAACGACAGTCCGTTTCAGAGTACCTGGTGCATCGAGATTGGATGGCCGGAGTAATTTTGTTGACTAAGTTGCAGATCAAGCAAAATCTCACGTTGCGAGCATACGTCTCCATAACTGCGAACCCAAAGCCCCAAGCGAGCAATAAATTGGTATTCCATTCGTTCGCATGCATCCATCCCTTCCCCATGCCCCGTCCCCCCCATCAACGGCGCCACACCTTCTGCCTTTGTAGCAAGAGGCATATCCCAGCAGCAGCAATACCAGCAGCCCCTTTTTTTAATTTGCCGAAAATCCCTGACTTCTCCGAAGTGCATTTTGCGCGGCAGACGTCATCTGGTCTGCTTCGTCCAGAATAATCAACTTCAGCTTCGGTAGCCTTGAGGGTCCTGACCTGCAAACAAGAAACCTAACACCCTAAGGCCTTATAAGCCTGTGAATGAACCCTTCGTCAAACTGTCCCCTCGCACGCACTGTTCAGGGGTGTGCCAAAACAGGCTTCCAAAAGGGGAAGGGGGCTAGCACCACTGTGGGAAGGGCTGGTCATGCGTAGTCGAAAGGCTGTGCAGCCGATCGCCGCTCTTCCAAGCCCTCTGAACTCCCATTGTCGCGTGACTAAATATGCGCGTACATAGAAAAGGAAGCGGAGGTCGTCTCAGCAAAGGTCTTCACAAGCTCCCTTACGGATCCGATGCCTCTGTCATCCGACGCGTTTAGCTGCACCAAGGAGATACCAGAACAGGCAGAAAAAAGAGCAACACAGCAATGTGAAAACGCGTATTGAACACCATACCATGCACAAAAAAGAAAGCCGGACAGATAGAATCTGCATTGCTGTCTGCTTGAGCAGGGATTCAGCGGCTAAGGGCTGGGTGTAGATGTCAGGGAGGAGACATCCTGCTGAGTGCTTGCGAGGAAGGTCTTAGGGCCCTCTCCCTACCTCGAGAACATGGGAAGCCTGCTGCGTGCCGTACAGCTGCCGAGCCACTGCGAGAATAGTGGAAGTTTTTCCAGTTCCTGCGCATGATGCATCCATAAGTTTAATTCTTTATGACCTAACACGGGGCACGGCACGGAAGCCGTGTGGCGAGAGGCCCAGTGCAACTGTCACCACGTTAGAGCCTCGGGAAGGCTTCCAATCCATGCGACATCCTCAAGGCACCGAAGAAGAAATACATAGACTGCGAAGGGAGCTTCTTACCTGGAGGGCCGTGAAAAAGGAGATGCGGCAGCTGACCCTTGTCGAGGTATCGCTGGACTGTACGCACAAACCCGCAAAAAGCCCTAGCCTGCAAGAGATGTCCAAAGAGACATGTTTTGTGCTTTGAAGAGGCGCAACTCAGCTGCTTTCTGAGGCTGAGGACTCAAGGTTCGGACGGAGACTTGCTCGTTTGAATGATGTCATCATGGGAGAGGACGTCACTTAACGTCTTTGGACGATAGCGCTCCACCTGAGGAACCCACACCACAAGAGGCCCCCAAACTTATGATCAATCCGAGGCTGCGGGTCCTATCCCTGGCTGTCCATGGCGGATAGGGAGTATCGGTGTTTTGAATGGCGACATGCTGCCTCTTCCGCGGAGGTTCGAAGGATCGCATGGCCAAAAAGGGCTTCTGTCTCAGCTGTACCCAAGGCAAGTCCATATCCTCTGGAATTGTCGCGGAAGGCCGTTCTGCGTGGTCCTGGGGGTTCCTATTTTCGTCCATTTTATCTGCTGCCCTTGCTGCTGCTGCTACTCTCGCTGTGAAGGGATGGAGGCCTGTCTCTGCGGCGGTAGGTGTTGCCCAGCGGCATGAGAAGCTGGGAGGGCGGCTTTGTGGCTGCTGCTCCTCCTTCTCCTGGTTCGGACTGCCAGTTGTATTCTGCTCAGAGAACCTGTCGGCAGCAGCAGCAGCAGCGAGGGCAGGAACGTGAACTTCCAGCGAGGTGTTGCGGGAGAGCGTCTCCGGAAGACGTGTTTTGCTGAAATTGGGACTACACTAAGCTAAAATGACAAGCTACGCCGCTTCGAGAGACCATTGTCCGCCTTGCAACAGTTGCGCATCGAGGGTTGTTGCGGGTAGGGGTGGGTGGACGGGGGGCCCCTGGGGCCCCACCGCAGCAGCTGCTGCTATCGCGGCGGCACTGGTCAAGGAGCTCCTGCGGCTTGTGGATCTGATGTGATGCCGATAGATGATTCATCAAAAAGCCTACAGCTCTTCTGGCCTTCACGATGACATCGATTGGGGCAACTTCCAGTGGCTGCTTTCACTTGCTGCTGCTGCTGGCGTTGAGTCAGCAGCAGCGGCAGCAGCAACTTTGATCAGCAGTATTTAGCACTGCTTTTGGTGTCTTAACGCCTTCTTGCCCTCCGCCTCCCTACTACTTCTTCAAAGGCACCACAACAAAAGGGCACTCTGTGTCTCTCCTGCTGCTACTGCCAAAGCAGCACTCCCCGTGTCCAGCTAGACGTTGCACGTGAAAGCGACCTAAGGAACTTGTTGAAGTAGCTCTCTGCAGCAACACCTGCGCGCTCACTAGACACAAGATGTGATGCAGCAACAAGGGCAGCAGCAACTGCAACAGCAGCCACAGCTGCAACAGCAGCCACAGTTGCAGCAGCAGCAGCAGCCACTGCACTTGCAGCACCCCCAGCTGCAACAACAACTGCAGCAGCAACAGCACTTGCAGCAGCAACTGCAGCTACAGCAGCAACTGCAATTGCAGCAGCAACTGCAGCTACAGCAGCAACATGCGTTGCAGCAACAACTGGTGCAACAGCAGAATCTGCAGCAGAATCAACTGCAGCAACAGCTTTTACAGCAGCAGCTGCTGCAGCAACAGGGACAGATTTCGCAGCCTTCGTACCTGCAGGCCCTCCAAAGGGAGAATTGCCACGAGTCTTCGCAGCAGCTACTGCAGCAATTGAAACCTGAAGAGCCAGTGCAGCAACAATGGCAGCAGCAGCAGCAACAGCACGTGCTGCACCATCACCACCACCAGCAGCTGCTGCTGCCTCAGGGGGCTTCTCTGCCAGAACAGCAGCAGCTGACCACGCAGCACTATCTGCAGCAGCAAGCATTGATGCAGCAGCAGCAGCTGATGTTGCAGAAGCTGCACAATAATCAGCAAAATCAGCGGCACTTCCAGCAGCAGCTACTGCGGCATCGATCTTTTTGTGAGAACCCCGACAGAGGATCCCCCAGGAGGCGTCGTCTCTCTGCTCCTCGCGACAGCCAGCAGCGCAATTCGAGTGAACTGCTTTCCGGCAATGTGGCTGCAGCAGGTGCTGCTGCTTCAGAGGGGGCTCTTGCATGCCCTGACACTGCAAACACCGGTGCAACATCAGCTCCAGAGCTAGAACCTTCTTTGATTGACAGTGCTGCAGTTACAGCAGCAGCAAAAAGGAAAGCCTTGGCAGCGAGGTTACCCCCATTGGCTGAAAAGCTGTTGCAGCGGTCCTTGTCGAGAGAACTCGAGGCACCTCGACTAGCAGAACTAGCCCTGCTTCCACGGCTCTTCTATGCTATGGCAGAAGAGCGACTCAGCAGCAGCAACAGCAACCTGAGTAACGGCATTTCAGACACCCCCAAGGGAGTCAGCCGTCACGGGAGCAGCATGCGCGAATGTTACGTTGACACAGCCGAGATCTTCGCAAGGGAGCTCCTGGTCCGCTGAATTCTTTCTATTTTTGCTGCTGCCCTTGATTCTGGTGTCTTCATTTCACTTGGCCTTTAGTGCTGGGGGTTGCTGGCGCCTTGCACACAGCAGCCGCAGCTTTGAAGGAATGCATCCTGTGGTGAAGCTGCTGCCGCTGTTTCTCGCTTTTGACTGGTCCCAGCAGCAGCCATTTTGTTGGGGTGCTGATTCTGACACTGTACACCATGTGTGCTGTTGCAGAGCAACAAGACTCTGTCTCAGCCAGTCTCAGCCCTAAAGACCCTTGTGGTAGCTCACAGGCTGCTCGCTCAGGTACAATTACGCCAAACTCTAACAGGGTTGAGGCTTTAAGGGCAGAGCTGAGGACTGTGTGAACTTGGAATTAGACGTTAATGCGTGTGTGAACTGGGAAGAAGTGGCTTATGCGTGTGTGAACTTGGAATTAGATGTTAATGCGTGTGTGAACTTGGAATTAATTGTCGATGCGTGTGTGAACTTGGAATTAATTGTCGATGCGTGTGTGAACGTGGAATTAGACGTTAATGCATGTGTGAACTTGGAATCAGACGTTAATGCGTGTGTGAACCGGGAAGAAGAGGGTTAGCTGAGGATCTCGTGACACTGACAAAAGACGCAGCGCTGCCCCCTAAGACATACGCATGAATTAGGCTTTTTCCCGGGATACGGATTTTGGCTTGCGTTTATGTTTGTTGGCAGATTCCAGTGGAGGCGTTCCTTGGATGTTCTCTTGGCAAGCTGCCAGACCAGGTTCTCCGCATGTGGTCGGCGGCTGCTTTACAAGCAGTAGCAACAGCCTCTGCTCCAGGGGCGATGCCAAAAGGAGCTGCAGCGAAGACGGCTGGGGAGCTGGCAGCTTTCCCTTCCTTGGGGAGCATTTTGTGTGCTTGCGCTGACTTTTTCGCCGAGAAGCTGCGTTTGCATCGGCAACTGGCAGACTGCTGCACTGGTAAGCCGCGGCAGCAGCTTCGGGTTCAGCAGCACTTGCTGTAAGCAGAGAGCGGCACTTCCCGAGGAGGAAGAAGAAGCATTAGCAGCAGCAGAAATTTTCTCTCACGCCTCTATCGATTCGCGGGTTCCGAAAAGAAGCCTCGCTTGATCTCCTGATGCTGCTTCAGGCACTTGGTCCGTCTCGCGCTTCCTGCGGGCAAATGCGGTATCTCTGGAGACCCTTGTCGCATTCGAGTCGGAAGGTGTAGTTCCCTTGAACGCCTCAGCTGCGTCGGAGTGAGTTGCGGGAGCTGCCGCTACTGTTGTTGTAGTTGCTGCTGCTGTGGCATCTGTGGCCGCATCGCTTCAGACGCTAATGTCTCTGGCGTCGAACCTCTTGGCAGCTGTCAACGGGAAACCTCGTCACTATTCTTAGGGCAGCATGACACTCGTATGCGAGCTCCTGAACCTCTTCAAGTAGCGGCAGATGTAGCAAAGCAAGGACTCTTGCATTATAGGGTTCAGCTGGGGGAGCGGCAGCTTATACCACAATTGCAGCAGCCATATCGATGAAACGCTTGTCGGGATTGTACCTCCCTGTGTCGTTTGCTTTTAGGTTGATCGGCCTCCTGCAGCGCGCATGCGCGCTTTGTCTGCTACTGCTGCAGCAGAAGGACAGCGATGCTTTTGTCGTCATTGGCAGCTACTTGGTGTTACTTGCAGATGACATTTGGGGGGTGGCTGCACTAGTGCTGCGTTTGCTGCACGCTTTGTTACAGCGCTGCATGCGTCCCGCTGTCTCGTTGCAGACAGGACCCTCTCTTGTTGCAGTGCTGGCGTCTCTATCATCGCCCCTCAAGGAGGCCCTTAAGAGCATGCAGTTGGCGGCAGGTACGTGCGTGTTCCCCCGCAGCTCAATCAGCTCCAACAACGTTGCAGGTATCAACCCAACAACGGGATAAAATTTATGTGGCGGGATGTTGTGGGTGCCCCGCCTCTGCAGAGGGGTGTCAAGCTGCTGCGAGCCGCTGCTCGTTACTGCGCCGCATGCGGCCTCCACCCCACGAAGCCTTTTTGCTGCTTGCTGACCTGCGAAAGCAGCAAGAGCAGCAACAGCAGCCGCGTTGGCTGCTGCCAGCCCGCAGTCAGCTGTTGCCTTACAGGCCCTCCTCCTCAACACGCCGCTGCATGCAGACTGTGCTGCATGTGCCGTTGCCTGCCGACTTGGAAGCTGTTGCTACCGGTACGAGGAGTGCACTTTCTACAGCTGCTGCGGGGCCTGAGTCAGACTGGATCGATTTTCTCAGTGTTGAAGAGGTGTACTTACTGCAGCAGGACAGGACGCTGGATGTTGCCATGCTTATGCAGCAGCCTCACATGCATGGTCACCGAGAGGAAAGCCGAAACGGGAGCAGAAGGATTAGCAGCAGCAAGAGCACTGGCAGCAACACTGCGGTAGCCAGAAGCTGCAGCGTTCAAGGCAGACAGACTCACCAGTATGAAGACCAGCGACAGCAAGAACAAGTGGCAACAACGCATAACAACTCGGGCACGTCCAACGCGGGCAGGCCTTCCTCGCCGCATGCAGTGGCGGCAGCAGAACCTCAGCCTTCCCGCTGTAGCAGTGGATGCAACAACAGCGTTGCTCCTTCTGCAGCTCCAGCCGATGTGAATGGGGCCCAGCATCAATTAGATCAGCTAAAGCCGCTCCAGCAACAGCACCATCGGGCATGTGAGGAGGGGTATGACGCAGCAGGCGCAACAACTGCTGTGAACGCAGAAGCCCCTTCAATAGAAACTGCAGCAAATGCGGCCTCCTTTGCTGCTGCACTCGGTAGGGAGGAGCCAACATCGCCTACGCAAGTCGCTGCTACTGGCGAATTGGAATCGTGGGCTGTCGCATCGTTTGAAGCGGACTTGAGGTCGCTAACGAGCGCTACTAGCCCGTCGCATCAACACGTACAGCAGCAGATGCAGCAGCGAATTCACCAGCAGCAGCTGCAACGGCAACAGCCCATGCAGCAGCAATACGCGCACCAGCAGTACGATGACCAACAGCAACAGCCACAGCTGCAGCAGTACATGCCGCAACAGCAGCAATTCCAGCTTTCTGGGATCTTTCAGGAGCCGTCCGTGGAGCAGTGTCGGCAGGAATACCAGTGGCTTCAAGGCAGTGCCACGCATCCATCTGTTGTCTTTGGCCAGCATGTACAACCGTCTCCGTACATGCAGCCATTGGATGTGCAGCAGCAGCACCTTATCCCCCAGAATCCTGAAGTGCGCTGCCAACAGCTCGAGCAGCTCCGCTACCAGCAGGCGCAAGCGCAGCAGCAGGGGCAGTACTTGCAGCTTCAGCAGCAGTTAGAATTGCAGCAGCAACTTGTCCATCAGCAGCAGCAACAGCAAGGCCTACTGCAACACGCTTCTTACTGCGTGGGGAATGCCTCGCAACAGCTTTGGCACCCGCAGCTGCAGGAGCAACAACTTCAGCAACAAGAGCAGCCCTTTGCATTCCCGTCAGCGTGGGATTACGTCTTGCAGCAGCCAAGTCGGGCAGCGATCCCTTCCGCGTATGCAGCAGCGACAGCGCTAGCTGCATTGGCAGGTGGCGCAGGCGACTCTAGGGTCTGTGGCTGTTTTACATGCAGGGGCTGCAGCGGGAAGAGCAGCTGCTGCCTCAGGGGCCTTAAGACACAGCTGGAGGCCTTGAATTTGGGGGTCGATCCCCGAGAGCTGCAGATAATTTCCGTACTGGGCAGTGGTGTTTCGGGAACTGTCCTTAAAGCGACGTGGCGGGGCTGTGACGTTGCAGTAAAGGTGCTCCCCTTGATTTTTCAGCAAAGGGGAGTCACTACTGTCGCCGCTGCTGCCGCCTCCGCCGCTGCTGCTCGCGAACTCCAAATAATGAAAAGGCTCAGGTGCCCCAACCTAGTGCTGCTTATGGGTGCGTGTGTACTGGATGGTAATGAGGCCTCCTGCCGTAGCCACAAAAGCAACAGCAGCAGCGATCCTCACAGGTCTGGGGATTCAAACACCACAAAAGAATTACTGGCAGCCACAGGTTGCCAGGGGCAAGGTCTCGCGGTGGTTATGGAGTTATGTGCAGGGGGCAGTCTCTTTGGACTGCTCCACGGGAGGCCTGAGGAGGCTCTTGCTGCCGCTGCGCTGCCCCGATCTCCAGCAGCAAATCCAGCAGATCCTGCTGCTGTGCATACGAGGATTGTACCAGAGAGCTCACTTGCTGAGGCGGAAAACCCTATATTTGTCGCCTCTTCAACAGCAACGACAGCAGCAGCTCCAGTAGTGCGGGCATCAGGTGAGCAACTGGAGGTTCAGCTTGGATCTGGGGAAGGCCATAAACAACGGCAGCAGCCACAACAGCAACAGCAACAAGGTCGGATGCGGTTAACGTGGGCTCAAAAGCTGAAAATTGCGCTGGACGTGGCTCGCGGCTGCGTGTACCTGCATGCGTCACAGCCTCCCGTGGTGCATCGAGACCTTAAGAGTCTTAACATCCTCCTGACAGACTCCATTCTCAGCGACACCCAAACCCCCGTAGCTAAGGTAGGCAAGCAGTGCCTGAGTACTTTATGTGCTGCGGCTTTCAGGGATTTGCTGCTTTTACGCCACTCTTTTGAAGCCGTCCTCGGTCGGGGGGCGAAACTGAGGAGGCCACAGGGATAGCCTTGGGGCAGGAGGGGCTATGGTACATTTTCTCGCAGAGCTTACATATACAAAGAAGCACGTGTGCTTGTTGCTGCTGCATTAGGTGGCAGATTTCGGCCTGAGTCGTTTAGCAACAGCAACTGGAGGCGGCGAAGGTCTAGTAGGCACAGAAGGTGCGGGCAGTGATCACCCCAATTATCGTGATATACCGGGGGCGGTCCCCGTATCTATTCGCACTCCAGCAGGAGGCACAGTGCACTGGATGCCTCCAGAGGTTATGAGGGGACTCTCCCAGGGACCGGCTGTCGATGTGTTTGCCTTTGGGATTGTGCTGTACGAACTTGCGGCTGAGGCACTGCCCTACTTAAGGCCAAGGCACTCATCTAATAATCAGCAGCAGCAGCAGATAGATCGGAGGAATGTGTGGCTGCCTCCACCTCCAGAGATATGTGCTGCAGTGCTAAGAGGGGAGCGACCAGACGAAAGGTTCATTCTACCACAGTGCCCTCTCATACTCAGGTAAAGGATCAAGGGGCTGGGATTTCGACTTTGGGATATGCAGCATCCTGTTAAAAGAAGCACAATGGCTTGCTTCAGCATGTGCGTTGGGGACTGCGGCCGCCGATAGTGTGCTCCGACTTCTGGCTTTAGTATGTATAGGTGTGTGTTAAGGCTTTTGTGGCATTGCATGCAGAGATCTAATGCGCCGTTGCTGGGCAGAAGACCCGCGAACTCGCCCCACATTTGTTGAAGTCGTGGAAGAACTTAAAGCCGCTTTAGAAGCGCTGTAACAAACATGCTTCCACCGCTGCCCTGGCTGCCACACCTGTGGCTCTTGGTGTAGCTTCAGCTGCAGGAACTTCTTACTTCTCGGACACTCTTTGCCTTGTAGTTTGGAACGCCATACTTCTGTAGGGTGTTCATGTCTCTCATTATGTGCCCATGCAAATCTACATATGCATGCGTACTGAGATCTACATGCGGTTATACGCCGATCAATAAGACCGTGCAACATATTCCTCATACTACAAGCCCAGCCTACAGCAGGCCTGGAATGACGGGCTTGGGGCCTGGTGAGCGCAGCACCCCTCCCTGGCCCCCACGACAGATTACTACACCGGTGCGTTTCGTGCCCGGACTGAAAACAAGCTAGATCTGAGTATTTACGACTGGGCACCTGAAAATGGCAGCATTCGTTATTTTGTTAAGAGCGATATCGTGCTGCATTGTGTCAAAGGGAGGGCGGGAGAGGGGAGGGAGAATACGAGGCTGCTAGAGCGGTGCCATATGTTCAGTGCTTTGAGTTTAAGGAACCAGCTTCCGTCCAAACTTGAGCATCCCCCAAGTTACTGAGGCAGGCATATAGTTCAAGGTTTATTTTCCGCAGTTTACAGTGGGACTTCAGGATCTGGGGTACTTGGGCAGGTTAACCCCTAAACATTATAAACAGGGAGATACCTCGTGTGTGAACGGCTCCTGCCTAATCAAACTCGCACGTCAAGTGCGGCAGAAGGCCCCACCACTAGTTGTTGTTCTGACCTATCCTTACCGAGGTGGCCGGGTACACGTCACGTAGCGGCCGGTAGCAACAACTTTGTGCATCTGGTCATTCAGTTCAATGGTTTAGGGCTAGCCAGGGATCTGAATAAAGCTTGCGCTTCTTAAACATTTTGGCGAGGTCCGTGCAGTTACTGGAACTAGTATTGCAGCACGTTCAACTCGAAAGTCAGCCATGTATCTCTTGGGTACATTAACACAGGCATCAAAGTGGCCACATTTGAATACGGAGGGTTCGAGTTCTAAAGGCGGAATTCGTTAGGTACATAAATGGGCTATATCTCGATCTGCATCTTATGCTGGTGATCTATTGTTTATGGAGAAGGCCACACTGTGTCTCATACCATTCGGTTCTTGAATGTTCGAAGCTCGCGCGCACTCAGTTTTGTGGATTGAGCTGTGCTCGAATTCAAGGTCAAGCATATGTCGTGTAGTCCCACCTCCACCATGTGACATCATTGAGAAAACCGTGAATAATTAACTGTTGCTGTAAGCATATCGTTTGGCAAGACAATCTCCAACAGGTTAAGGAAGCAACTATGCATAAGGGAAGCTTGAAGATACTCGAAGAAGAGTCCATATGGTACTAACACGGGGCGGTGACAGATGTAGACAAGACCTAGAGGGCCTGTAAAATATTTTGAAGTTGTCTGTGTCCAAAGTCAACTATGGGATGCCAAGCAGCATTTCTAATTGTCGGTTTTCCTGAAAGCAAAATCGTGGGCATGGTATTCTAAAGTGCAAGGAATGGTTGCGGCATAAGTCGCCAAAGTGATGCCTCACGAATGCCACAATAAATACTCAACGCATTGGTGCTCTCTGTAATGGGATCTTTGGTATGCTATAAGACTTTGCCTTTATTAAGGCCATCCACATTGTCATGCCACTACCGTGATGTGGAGGCAAGCACTTGCCCGTCGAGCTAAATACTAATATATTGAGAAGAAAGCCACCAGCAGTGCGTGGAAAGGCCACTCGCATTATTTTAAGAAAAGGCACAAGATTCACTGCCATCCTCGAGTGTTTTGAAAAAACGACAGGATATAATGAACAGAATCCCAGCAGGCAATGGTAGAATATAGTGACACGTGGAACTGCCGTTGGATTGCCAATTCCGGTAGAATGTGCCTCACTACTGCAGCTTGTAGCCCCCTCTCCTTGTGAAATTAGGCTTGGCTCCCAATGTACTGGATAATAGCCAAACATTCTCCTAGGCTCTAGGATATCGGCAATTTTGAATGTGTGTAGGGATGTCTTGACTCTCCGCAGCTGAAGTTTACTCAACTTCGGCTCAACAACTGACTGTGCCGGCCTGCGGGTGTCCGTTTGCATTCTTTGGCATGAATTGAGACACTCTTTCCAGAGGTTTCCACTTGTGCAAAGCCCAGGTTTCTTGGAGGGCCCGATTGTCTAGCAAGACTCAAAACAGTCAGTGAGTCGGCAGACAATAAAATACATATTTAAAATGCCAATGCGAGAAGGCTTGTGGCTTTCCAGGAGCAGAAAGGTAAAAACTACTGGGGCATGAAGCCAACGCAGAGAATAGCCATTCTGTAGAGATAAGCCCCATCCAAGAAGAGTTGGAGGTGGCTTCATTTGCTACAGTATTTCACATCTTAGTGCAACTTAGCGTAGGAAATCAAAGAGGAGAACGGGGCAAAGAGCCATCTTATCGCCAGTGTCATCCGTTCTACGAGCAATTGTCTCAGTGCTTCGACACAAAGTTGAGGTCCACCATATGCGTAGCAACAAATTCACAGCCCGGCATCACACAGATCCAGCAGTTTCCTTTTTAAAAATCGATCTTTGGACTACACAATAACTTGGACACTGTTTTAAGCGTTCTAAGGGCAGATGTTGCAAGAACCCGAACTTCAGCGTTTCCCTTTTCTTCCTGCTGAGCCTGTGGGCATAATAAACTGTCACTACCAGCTAGGGGCCACGCAGTATCTACCCCTATCTGTCTGCGCGTGCGGCAGCCAGTCTTAACATCGCTTTACCTGTGCACACATTCATGCCTTCATGTGTCGCTGCGCGCCGCTGCAACTGATCGTCCCCATACTTTTCTGTCTATCCTTGAACATGTTTATCTCTAGCCTAATTGAAGGCTCATAGTCCCTTCGCCTTTGCGCATAGCTGTGTGTTAGCTTCATCTTCATATGCTTCCTTGTATGTGTCAATGAAAATTTTGTTGCTTGGAGACCCTCCTGGGGTTACCCCAAACGATTAGCCATCCCCAGGGACCTAGCTGATGGTCCCAGCCCCAATATCTACGCACGCGAGATAAGCGGCGGAAAGCAAGGAATTTACCTGGTGCTCTCAGTAAAATCCTATACACATCTACATGGGGGCAGGACCCTCTTAGGACCCGACAGCGGGCACCTATGAAAACCCGCTGTTTGGAAGAAAAGTAGAAAATTTTCAACCCAAAAAAACTGCGCCCTTTCCTCTACAGCCTCAAAGCGGGTACGCGAATACAAATGCGAAAACTGCCGCTGAAGGTCTTCACTGTGCTGCTGCTGGTGTTGATCCCGGTGCTGCTCCGGTCGCTGCATTGGGAATCCCTGATTCTGTTGCTGCTGAGGCCTTCGTGGCGTTTTCAGCAGCAGGGTTTAGGTCCTCCAACCACTTAACTCGAACTCCTTTGTTCCAGAGAGCTGCAACAGCAAACCAGCAGCAGGACAAACAGAAGCGGTATCACAAATATCAGAAAGGCTGGACGTCCAAGTTTATGCAAAAGAGTCCCGGGTACATCTGAATGCGCCTTATCGCAAGCGAAAAACAACGGCGGTCTAACATTCGCATGCTCCAGTCCTTCACTCTCTGTTTCCTATGCGCAAATGCCCTAAGCCGCGCCTGAGATTTTAGGCGCTCCGTTTTTGCGTATCCAGAACCGTCTTTCTCTGCTCGACGCTACCTCTGCCTGCGTGTATCCATATCTCCGGAGTTTTCTATTAATATTGCCGCCTGTCTCACCCTACGGCTGTGTCAGTCTTACCAAGGGCAGTAGGGGTTCCCCCCTTAGGAGTGTGTCTGCCTTCGCCGTGTGGCAGACCGTTCTTGAATTGTCCCTTAAAGGAGGATCCGTCCTGCCACGTCAAGCAGCCTTCTCCTTCCATCCTGCTATCTACGAAATCCCCCACGTACCTGCGCTCCCGCATATCAATATAAGAAAAAACTGCAGTAATCATCATCAGCAGTGGCAACAGCATCTGCAGTAGTAGCAGTAGAAGGCTATTCAAAATGCTGCGCTTCGGTTCATTTCCGTAATATGTACTTTGCGAGCAAATTCTAAACAAAGGTCTCAAATAAGAGCTAAAACAGAACATCAAGGGCGGATCAAGGGGACTACGAACGAAGCTACCAAGGGTGACAGATGGAGAACTTTATTATCTTTGAGGCAATTTGTGTGAATCAGACAGTCATATCTGTATATAGACATATGTACAAAGGAACATCCATCAATCCGGCAGGGTACTTCAGATGGCAGCTGTAGAAAAACTGCATTGGCATTTGAAAAGCCCTTAGATTACACTCGACCTGGGATGTGCAGATAGAAGCATATAGATCCACCCACACAAGATTCTATGCATAGTGAAGAGATCCATAAACAGGCATTTTACTGTTGTGTTTTTAGTCGGCACTACGCATAAATCCTCTAATGGTGAAGTTCAGCTATGCAGCGAGCTTCAGCGCTACGAAATCTGGAGACTAACTTGCGGCCGTCAGGAAAGAAAAACACCCCTTTCCCGTGCATTCGGCTCCCTTTCCACTCGCCTTCGTAGACTCGGCCGTCGGGCCAGGTGTACACACCATGCCCTAAGAACAAACATCAACAGCACTCACAGATGGCGCATCTGTTATCAGCATACATACGCACGATGCCAGCACACCAGTACTTCCTCATGCTGCATCATGCATCAGGCATTAGCAGTGGGTGTAAGCGTTATATTAGCTGCATACTAACCGCTCATTTCCCCCTGTACGAAGTCCCCTTCATATGTGTCGCTATTGGAGGCCCTCATGCGCCCCTTGCCGCATTTGAGGCCGTCAACAAACTGCCCTTTGTACTGAGAGCCGTCAGAAAGAGTCTCACAACCCTCCCCATGGCGCTTGTCTTGCCTCCATTGGCCCACGTACCTACGGATACATGCAAGCAGGCGAGCATTGGAAAATTAAGGGCCTTGTAAGGCGCATGAGTAGTAAGTTGAAAAGCTTTAAAACTCTCAAGGGTGTATGCGTAAGAATACATATATGATATATATGCATTAGTACTCACTCGCACCCCTGAACAGTTTGACATTTACAGTCACTGAAAATGTATTTTGACCAATATACGCATTAATGCACACATAAATTGTACATACATACGCATCTGTTGGCATATATGTAAATATGTTTGTGCGTACCTGGGTCGAGAGACGAGCAGACACGTCCGTGAAAGAATACAGAGCACACATACTAATGCACATGATACACATACATGCAGGCATACTTGCACAAATCCAAAGTATATCAAAGCAGTCACACGTAGCTTGGCACACATTATAGACACACAAATGCACAAACACAAGATGCATCTGTATTTATTCCTGTAGTAACGAACAGCTCCATACAAGCTTCACGAATTTGTCTATCTTACTTGGACCCATCTGGGAAGGTGTACACCCCGGGCCTTGTACGCGTTTCCGCCTTCCCGTTAACGAACTCTCCTTCATATTTGCTTCCGTCTGCCCTAGTAAGCCTTCCAAAGCCCTCAATCTGACCCTGACTAAACTGTCCCGTATACACCACGCCCATGGCCTGCCGCTGCTCCCCCCTCCCGTGCTGCTTGCCGTTGCGCCATTCCCCTCTGTACGTCACTCCGTTCTTCATCACTACCTCCTCACAGTCCTCAGGGATGGTCAGGTCTATGCCTGCTAGGGGGTCCACATCCTCGTCCTCAGGCTTACCAGACGGGGCACCACCGTGAGCCTTAGGCCCGCCCCCCGCAGCACCTGTGCGTGTGGCAAGCCCTAAGGCCCCTGCTTGGTGTGCCTCAGCGTCAGCGTCTCCGGTGTTTTGGTTATCAAGACGCGTTCTAGATTCATCTGTGAAAGGGCGGGCTGCCCGAGCCTTGCTCCCCGAACACCCCATTTACGCTGCACAGTTCGGCAAACCAAAACCGGTGTGCTCTATTTCAGCAAGGAAGTGAAACGAAAGGGGCCAGAGAAGTTCTGCAACACTCAGCGAATGGCTTTCTAGTGCGGCTCCTTCAAACGCAGCTGACCAGATAAAGGGCACTCTAAGCGTCGTCTGCCACGTCTTCAGATATCGCGGAACATTCGTGGATGCAAACAACGTGAAATTTGATAGGAACTATGTCCAATGGTGCGTATTTCTTCCCTTCTGCGCATGCTGCGGCAGCGCGACACGAGACCAATGCCGGCAGCGGCTTCCCCCTCTTGGAGATGGAAACAATGCAAGAAGTGCGATATTACACAGAGAATTGCGTCCATAATGCACAAATATACCTCACAGCCGAATAAAACGCTGCAACACAGGCCGTATCCGGCACGATGGATGCTTTGTCCTGCGCTGGTGGCTCGAATGGCAGGAAGTTGCAAGAATGCGGCTGTATGAAGCTGGTACTTTACATGAATGCTGCTACAGCGCAGGGATTCCGGGACAACCCTAGGGCAAACCACAATAAATTAAAAAAATGAGGCGTTCAAAATATAATTAGCCACACACTTGGAAGGATTCGTTTCCCGCGGACTGTCTTGTTGCCGAAGCTAGCTCAGAAGGGATAACTTGAAACCTGCATTTAAACGATGGAACATTCTACCTGATCTGCCAGCGAAATTCTGTGAGCACTTCAGATTAACCCTCTAGATAAGAGTTTTAACAGCCAAACTCCAGCCTCGCACAGGAACGGTATACATAGGCAATATTCTAGGGCCATGATACTCTAAGGGAAGGAAGGAGTCTGCGAGCTTATGCGTATCCTCCTAATTCCTGTAGCAACATCCGGTGCATACTACTAGGCAGTGAAGCGAGTCTGTGCTCTTGTACTAGCCGCTAGCGCCCCTGGTACTAGCGCACAGCAAATTTCAACCGAAACCGTTCAATCCTCTTGGCCTGAATATGCTTCTTTTCGAACCTTCTATAGGACACCGGCATGATTCTCAGATTGTTCACACCCAGTTTGTGCTGTACGAGTCAATGAGTCTATTGACAGGCAGCAGGTCAATACAGGACAATTATGGCGTCTCACTTGGCCGTGTAACGCTCCGAAGTGTTTGTAGGGAGGCACTTAACTGCAGACTCTATATAACCGTTCTTAAAAGTTTTGGGGTGTGTTCCAAAAACTCTTCCGCCCTCCCGTGTCTTTACCCCTTGAGTTCCGGAGATACGAGTCGGGGGGCAGCGATGGTGCGCGTGGCTGGACCCTCAAAAAAGTTCGGGCATTCATAGGTAGTTTCATTTCGCATTCAGCGCGCGAGCGCACGCACACACACGCGCACAAGACACTGCGCCTTCTTGTATTAGGTAAACACTACCCTGCAATATATACGAGGTATGAACAGAAAAACCAATTAGTCAACGGCTTGGTATGTCTTGGTGTGGTAAAGAGTATTTATGTTTAGCTTTGTTCGTTACATCTTCCCCCACTTCAACCCACAAGCCCCGGTTTTCCGTAAGTGTCCATCAAGACCAGCTGCATGCACTAGAGCGGATGAGATCTAGCTCTAAGGGCAATCCCTAGGTACGAAGAAACGCGAGAAGCAGTGCGAGTGATAAGAACACGCTGTGGATCATCCCTTTGAGAGTAGGAGAAGGAAAGAAGAAAAACCCCCCAACAACAAACGAAAAGCTAATTTAGCGGGACTGTGGTGGTGCAATGGCTTGCTGTCGTCAAAGCGATGCAATGTAACAGACTCCTGCTCCGAGAAGCATAAAAGAAGTAAAAGATTAGAGGAATTCAAGATACACACTAGTTCGGCGGTGCCTTCGCGCTTTATGGTGCAATCTTTGCATACAAGTGCAACCATTGCATGCAGAATAATCGACGCTAGGCCCAAACAAGACATAAAGAAGAGTGTAGGTACAGCATGCCTGAAACAGCCAGCGCAAAATCTCTGAGCACAGAGAACACCTATAAAAATTTGAGGAATCGCCAACCAAAGCTTACAAATTAAGGTAAATATGCCGAGCAGATCATGTCTACTCGGGAAGGGTAATTATCAAGTAAAGCGAGAAATACCCTCAATGGTGACTGCGGCTGTATAACAAAGAGAACTGCGAATCCTCCCACAAGCAAGGAAGCTCAACATTACTCCTCCCTTAGTCAGTGAGAGCGGGATGCCCAACCCCATTTTACTACAAAATCCAAATACCGTGTCCTCACCGCTCCAATAGTCCGAGAATCCAGCACTTCTACGGCTCCTTCTGAATCCTCTG